AAGAAAATTCTATTTGCATTTTATTTTAATTTCCCTAAATAATAGCCTCTTCAAAATAAGGATTTCCTTTTTAATTCAAATGCATAAAATTATTTAATTCTAAATAAAAATAAAACAAGAAAGAAAAAACTGCAAATTTTGCAAAAACGCTGTTTCCCCGCTGTTACGCCGTTTCTTACTACAACCCTGGCAAATTAAAAAATTTTTTTATCGTTATGAATTTCTGGTTAGTTTACGAAACTTAATTTAATGAAACAACTATTGAAGCAGTATTCTGGTATTTTAATAATATAATTCATTCCCCAATTCAATTTTTATTTCTCCTTAAGATTGATTGATTGAACTATCATAATATACGCTTAAAAGTCGAATAGAATTTGCATTATTATTGACTTCAAATGCGCTTATCATAGACATAAACCCATACATTTCCAGATTTGTGGGTTGGCATGTTTGCATTTCCACGAAGTTTGCACAATCCATCTTTAGTTAGTGTAAGAAATACGTATGATAACTGATTAAACTGATGGAACAGGATAATCTCTTATTTCTTTTTTGTAATGTAATTAATTTAATTGTTTTTGCTAAAAGCCGTTGTCACATGACATTAATGTCAATTTTTTCAGTATCACATGTTTCTCACAGAAGTCAAATGCAGCTATATCCTTCTCTGAACTTGCTTCTAAACATTAATATTGCTTACACTAAAATAGAAATGTTTGTTATAAAATTGCTTCGAACTTAGATATTTTTATTATAGTTCCTGATATGAACTGACAAATATTTTTTTTTGTATAACCTTAATTTTGCTATCCAAACAAAAAAAACTTTTCCTTCTTGCCTCTATTTTTTTAAAAAATTTTTTTTTAATGGCGTCAGTATTTTTTTATTTTTTTTTATTCTAGTAAAATTAGATATTTTTTAAAAAAAAAATAATTCCCAAGATTTTTCTACAGATAAAGCTTTGTTATATTTGAATATGAATTCTTTCCAAATGGGCAATTTAGGCATTGTTTTCATGTGTATTTCTCCCCGCTGAATTGAATAAGACGACTTTCGAGACGATCAGACTATTTAGTTTAGAAGTTATTAGGGTTCTTTGTACAAAAAGTATAAAGTTGTACTTTCCACGCATCTAGTAAACTTTTTTTCATACTAATTTAATGGGATAAAACATGAATCTGTAAGATAAATAGTTAAAAAGTTATCATGATTTTGTGTTAAAAAAGTGCATTTTTGTACTTGGACTTATTTAAACAACTTAATTTTTATATAGAAAAGTAAAATAACGTTTCCTGTGTATTTTTTCCCCTTAATCGAATTAAATTAAATACGAGTCAAAGGGTCTAAGTTTATAAGTTGCAATAGGTTCCTTTTGCATAACTGTTTTGAATTTCACTTATTATGAAAAAAATCCCAAATAACTTTAAAGCTTGCTTAACTTTAATTTAATAATGTTATCGACTATAACTTAATTATAACTTATGATAACTATAACTTAATGTTATTGATTCAAATTTCACCCGATTTAATTCAGGAAAAAAATTGCATAAAATATATCTTATGTATGTTTAGACAAGCTAGTAGAGAGCAGAGTAAAAAAAAAAAACATATATAATAAGTACACGTACAATTTATTTCTTGCATTCGATTTAACTCGTAAATAGTTTCATTCGATTATACTTTACTGATGATTATTTCGAAATATATGTATTAATGAAAGTACATAGATTAGTTTTATCATTATAACTATGTAATATTTCCACAGTAAAAACAGAAAACTTATTACATGTTTGTTATTATTTTTTTGACATGTTAATTTCGAAGCATTAAGAATAGCCTTTTATATCTACCTTGTAAAAAAGATTAATTTTGATAGGAGTTTGAAAAATTTTCAATAAAAAGTAGCTATAAATTCCTACTACTTTATTCAGTTTACGTGGAAAAAGTAAGTTTAATTAAAAAATCCAATTTAATAATGAATAAATAAATGATGAAAAAATATCAGATACTGGACCCGCCAAGATTGTACTTATTGTACATTTGAATTAGATGGAGAAACTTGTAGCATTTTTTTGTTTTTAGATAGTAATCTCTAACTTACCATTTTTATTTACCCTTATTATTTACCCACGGGTAAAAAAGGACCTAAGTATATATTACAGTTGGGTGAATAGTTATCAAGAGATAAATTACGAATAAATATGCAGTAAATCGTTTGATTAAATGGTACTTACTGCCATTTTCGCCCACATCATGCCAGAGTCATTTTAGTATGTTTCAAATTAATTTTAATATAGTATATTGATTATAAGAAATTGTCAAAATATAAATATAACTTAAGGCAAAAAATTAAATAATATTTGAAACTGAACCATTTCTTAATTTATTTTTCAGATTTGACGAAAATGGTTGCCGTGATAACAGGTAAGTACCGCTTAAATTTACCTTAACGAATTTGTGCTTTACATGAAGTTAATTATTTATACTAAAAAAGTATTGTAAAAACAACTAAAATAAGAACTCTTTTTCAACCTTTGCAATATTTTATTTCATAAATTCTTCAAAAGTAACTTTTACAGAGTAAGTAGTCTAACAATAGTAATACGATTTGGCGATATACAAATACGAATGCCATCATTATGCCAAATAACTAACTTTAAATAAGTGGAATAAATTGCATTATTTTGTGGTTAATAAATAATTCTTTTTCGTTAATAAGACACTAATAATAAAATTTCATTTTAAGCAAGGAAACTTAATAAACTAATATAGACTATAACTATGTAACGAAAAAACCTACTATTTAATGAGGAATTTTTTTTCTTTTTTAAATACTACAATGAATCTTAAAAAGTTATTGGTGAAAAATAATTTATTTCCATGGTTCGGAAAAAGGAAAATATTTTATTTTTATTAGTTTAACATAATTTTTTAAACTCTTATTTTTAATTTGAAGAAATAGATAGAAATATAGATAGTGTTCCCTAAAGACCGCTTTTACTATGTATTTTTAAAATCTTTAGCAAAAATGAAAACAAAAACCTATACAGATTTGGGTCCAAAATAAATGTTTAAAAGAGGAAATAACAAAAACGCTATCGGAATCTGGCAAATCACAGTGTGGGAATTCAGGAGTAATAAACAACAAAACAAGTTTCATTGTGGGAGGAAACGGAAAAAGACGATTATTAGAGACACTTTCAAGTTTCGACCTATAATTAAACATGTTTTGATGTTTATAACACGCTCTTCCTCTACTGTAATAGCCAGTGATTTCAATTTTTAATTTTTCTCGCTTAAATTTTAAACTGTGACTCCTAATGTACAAATTACCTTATTTTTCTATTTGGAGGATTCTATAAGGATTCTAAAAATAAATATTAAAGGCGGTTTTTAAGGAATACTTTGACAGTCTTAAAAATGGTTTTTATAAGCTCCTTTAAGAAATTCTCTCTCAAATATTTTGCATTTAAAAGTGAACTAAAGTTCAAGAACTTTTTACTCTTCAAACTATTCAGATAATAATATCTACATAAATATGAACTTTACGTTGGATACAATAAAGGACAATTCAATACGTCTACATTGCAATTTTGATAATGCATAAAATATTTATTTATAAGTTCCAAACATGTCAAAACTATTCAGACGTAGAAATTCCTCGTGGCTTAAGTTTTATAGTTCTCAAAAAGAAAATACCAACTTTAGTTACAATGCCAATAGTTCTCTACGAGTACATAACGAATATAAATTTCAAAATTGCAACTAATATTAGCATTTGCATTAAAGATACGAATTTTGATATCATTTCAAGTTAATCTCAAGCCTAGATATCAATAAGAAGTGTCATATCAATAACGATAACGATATCAATAGCGAATTATATCACAAGTTTCAATAAATCAAAAGCGGTGTTAATGTTGCAGACTTCCAAAAATTAAGCATAGAAAATTTTTTCTTAAATTTTTTGTAAAGATAAATATGTTAAAATAACCCTATGAGTTTTGTACAATCCTCAAACTGTTGTTATAATGCGTATAATTTACATAGAGCTTATACATGAATTGTTTTTATATAAAAAAATCTTTAAATTAAAAGAGATATGTAACTTTATAAACAAACAAGTGTACAGGGTGTCTCGTTATGGCCGTCCTGAATATATATTTTTAGAATATTTGCTAAAAATGTAAATAAAGTATACGTATTGGTGATCGCAAAATAGTATTTAATTTGGGAAAAAGCAAAAGCCGTATCGAAATCTCACAAATCACTACTGAAGATGGTAGGAATGAAAATATCAAAATAGAAATTATAAGGAGATTAATAGATACAACTCTAAGTTTTCAAGAAGTAATAAAACTGGTTTTACCTCATTTTAATCCCTTCTCATTCTCTAGTGATTCGTTAGAGTTCCATAGCTTTTTTCTTTCTTCCTCAATAAAATATTAATTCGCGATTTCTAATGTATATACTTTTTCAATTTAATTTTTGACAAAAATTTAAAATTTTTTTTTTTTATAATTAGGACCACAATATAATACGAAACCAGTCATTATGGAACACACTATATGCTAAAATTGAATTTCATCATTTCGAAGTATTAGCAGCAATTTAGTTAGAATTAAATTTAACATATTCCTTACATTGGTTAAGCACAACTTTCTTGTATCGAGATAATTCTTATAAGAAAAAAAAATAATAAATTGAAGCAAAGCTTTAAAAATTTTAACCTAAGGAAGTCGCATTAACACTTTTTAGTTTCTAATTAGCTCAATTTTTACGATCAGCAGAGGCCAAACGCTTATCTATATTCATACTAGTATTAGCTTTGAGGTGTCTATTTTGGCGTCGATATTCCGAGTACTTACCATTGTTATTCGAATTTTTCGAAGGAAATTTGCTAGTTGAATAATTGTTGGCGACCATATTTTGTTTGCTGTAATAATTGCGTGGATCTGACTGATGTGAATAATACCCGTAATTAGCTCTATATGCATAGTTGCTCCTTGGCGCTTGTTGGTTATAGTGATAATACTTTCCGTATTGGTTGCCATTTGGTTCATTCACAGCGTAAATATCAGGAGGGTATTCGGATTTGGGGTAATATTTACCATAAGACATTTTAGGATATGATATGGTTGATTTGTATCTAAAAGATGTCTTCGGTTTGAATCTGTAATATTTGGCGACCAAGGGAACCACAGTCATTTCATTTTCTTTCGGTAAATAACCATCTTCATCTTTCAATGCGCTCAGTGCATCCTTGTAATTTTCAAACTCTACCACGCCAAATGTAGCAGTAGCTATATCACGGTTGAAAAACAAGCACTTTTTGTGATATAAATTGTAATTTTTAGATTTTGTTGTCATAATTTCGGCGTATACGACATTACCAAACTTGCCGAACAGTTCTTTGAGTTGTTCAGAAAATGGGTTTTGGAAAGGGAGGTTGAAAACAAGAACAGTCTTGCCGAAACTTGTATCTTCTATTTTTGGTATTGGCTCAATTCGACGCACTTTCGTTTTTTCAGAATTCAGTTTCAGTACTTTAGAATTGGCCAAAGAGTAAGCTACGACTCGCCAATCTTTAGTAATCGCTTTCACTTTTCGAAAAGAAGTCACCAATTTCAAGCTAATGTACCCTTCTTTGTTTTTGCGAGTATGTTTTAAGAGAAAGTTATTTTTCAAAATATTGAAGTCAGTGAAATAAAACTCTACTCGGTTCATGATTTTAGCGGCGGTTTCTTCATCTGGCTTTATAAATTCCATGTTTTCAGTAGCGTTTCTGAAAGTTTTGGCTGGATTAATTGCCATAAGAGAGTGAGATTTATGAAATGTGGTTTTATAAGTTGTTTTTTCTTCATTTTGCTTTACAAAAGCGATATTATCAGTTGATTTACAATTTGCACTTCCAGCAGCTTTATCTTTGCTTCTTTTGTCAGATTTAGTTGCCATAGCAGACCGAGGTTTGTGTAATGCGGCTGCCTTGTTGCAACTTTTAACCGATTCTGCACCATTTTGAGAATAGGATCGATTTTTATCTTCATCGTTTGTTAGAGACACTTGATTGCCCATTTCAGCACTTTTTTGTAGAAAAACTTCCTTTGCTGTTTTTATATCATTTTGGTTTGGAGAAACGCTAGTTTCTTTGTTGTTTTCTTTCATTAGAATGTTTTCGGAATTTAGCTTAGTTTCTGGTGCTGGCATTTTTGCGTTTTGTAGCAAGCCATTGTACTCATAGGCAATTCCGTTACTTGAAGTACTTTGGATGCTACCTTTCTTCGTATCGTCATTTTCATCCTCTGAATGTGAAAAAGAAGCATCACAAGAAGACAGCGATGAATTGCTGCTGGAATGATCACTTTCTTCAAATAGTTTTACCGCTTCGTTGCATTCAAAATAAGCTTCCTCATCCTCTTTGTAATTCGGAGATTTTAAACGATGGTAACCGGACGATGGGATATATACAATGTCTTGGCTTTCCAAATTATTATCAGATTTGTTTAGTTCTTGACTACACTTATCGTCATATTCATGGCTGAACTCATTAGAGGTAAGTATATGCTCAGCAAGACCATTCTTGATTACGTTTTGTTTAGCTTTTGGTGACGAAGTAACATTACGTACGTCTTTTGATTCTTCTTCGGATTCGATAGCTTGGAACTGCTTAATTTCAAGTGATCCAGCGTATTCAGCTACAACTACTTCCTTACCATCGTCATGAGCTTCAAGGATACTTTTAATGACATTATATTTGTCTTTTTGCTGAAAGTCGACATCGGAAGTTTGCCTGACAGAAGAATCCATTTTAACGTCAGTTTTGTAAACGCTGTCCATTTCGTTACCACTTTGGGTAATAATTATAGTAACAGCAACCTCAGAAAACTTTTCATGAAAACAACATAATTTAAAAAAACTGTTCTAATGTTTGAATCATAGTTTAATGTGGATTCACGCGGTGTGAAAAATATGATTAGTATTGTGCATGATTTTAAAACACGTGTTTCATTTTTCGAGTAAAATAATGTAACTGTGCTATCTTTTAAAATACGAAACCACATTTCCAAATAAATTTTTTTATAGGATCACATTACCTTATTTATATGGTTGTTCCTAGTTACTTTCAATAATTTGTCAATTTTTCGGAATCGAATTGCGAAGCGCAATTTTATTATAATGTAATATTAAAAAAAGCACCAACATTATAACGATACTCAACGATATATAATATTGATGGAAAAAAAATCATAAATAATAAATAACAGAAAAGAGTCACCTAGAACACACATCGTAGAATGTTGAGATTGGAGTTTCTATAGCTGTATGGTAACGTTAATCCTCACAGTACTCTGTAAATGCAAAATATTTCTAGGTAAATGAAATGGGACGGTACAAATTACTCTCATTACAGCCCGAACGTAGCTTCTTTTGATTACCGTATGTTCGATGCCATAAAGAAGTGGTTTGAGGCAAAGAGTTTTACTGATGATAGCAAAATTCAAACCGCAGTGACAGAGGGGTTGAACTTGCAGGTGACAAAATTTTATGAAGAAGGGAAAAATGAAATAAAATACTTTGTAGCGTATCTACCACTACAGAATTACAACTACAATTCACTAGTATATAAGACATGTTAACTCGACTCTATGTCGGGGTACCTTTTCATAGATGACGGTTGACATGGTCTGTAACTACTCTCCCCATATTGGTGACCTTCGGACGGGATGTGAACACGCCCACCTAGGCAGTAACGCCCACTTCGATATGAACACGCCTACCTACGCAGTATCGCCTACTTCGATGGATGATCCACATTGAACAGTTGACTTGCTACTTGTGACAGCAACATCATCAACCTCCTAGCGCTGTTGCTGCTCAGTTTCAATCACACACAACGTACAACGCATACACTCGACTGCTAAAGGCAACACAGGAGCGACAACGACCGTGAAGTTAATACACCTCTCACATTCAGCACTAAAAAAATACGGTGATCTTAATACAGCTCTCCCGGCTTCTCACAAAAAAACAGCAATGAATCAACTAGTGGTATTCGTTCATCGAATTCTATCACAGATATAATTCTAGTGGGGGAGTACTGTAGCGTATCTACCACTACACAATTACAACTACAATTCACTAGTATATAAGACATGTTAACTCGACTCTATGTCGGGGTACCTTTTCATAGATGACGGTTGACATGGTCTGTAACTACTTTCCCCACAACTTATAAGAGCAATGAAAACTAAAGGTCGTATTGTGCAGACTACCCCATAAGTGCTGTTTTAGAATTCTTTTAAAAAATGAAGTCAAAATATTCACGCTAGCGATTGCAAATTAGAGTTTAAGCGAAAAAAAAGCAAGAAAAAAAAAGCGAAAATAAAATAGAGAGGGCTACTGGTTTTAAAACATTAACCCTGCTTGATTGTTGGAAGACACGGAGGTAGATACACCTTCGAATCCAACAATGAAACTGATGGTTCTGTTATATTTTGCCCACTTTCCTCACTAGTAATTCCACAAATTTTGAAATCGTTCTTGTTTTTTCCTCATTTAAATATTAAATTACGACCACTAACCTGCATACTTTTGGGACTTTATTTCCGACAAAATTTCGAAAAATATGTTCTTAGCTCATTTCTTGACCACTCGCCATATGGCNGAGATGAAATTTTTTTCTAGTTATTTATATGTATATTAGATTAAGTTTATGCATTTGTTTCTGTTTTATAACAAGTAATAAAAGAGTTATCGGGTTTCATGTACCTAACGACCTTTATTTTGAAACAAAAATCTACATAAAATTTGTTTTTTGGTCATAAATTTAAAATAAATTTAGGAAAATTCCTATATAATGCATAAAGCTTTTAACATTTATCTCTAAAAAAAGAATATTAAAAAAAAATAAATAAAAATTTTAATTTAAGCCGCTGGGAGCATTTTAAAATTGATGAAATTTTTTTTAAAAAATTTTAAATTTCTCAAAAATGGTCCAAATATTTTTTACAAAAATTTTTGCAAGGGCATATCTTGATAGAATACATAAGTTATAAAAAAAGTTTTAGTGTAGCATAAAAATTAAAAAAAAATTTTTTGAACGTCCACTGTAGCCTTAATAACGTTTCCAATGCTATCCTTTTGTTTTTGTTTGTCTGCACACAACTAGACCTAAAAATAACCACTCGCCACGTAGCGAGACAATGAAAAAATAGAGGTGACTCAAATTAAATAAGCAACTGGTCACTTTTTCCAATCCCCTTTTTTTTTTTAAATTGTATTATTGCGCATCGACTTTCTCGCACGGTGATGTCAAATCAGTATGTTTCACCAAATTTTGTCACATATTTATGTTATTTTTTAGTATTGAATTAACTTTTTATAGCCGTAGATTATTTCTAATATATTTTTTTTAAAAAAGAAATAACACTTTATGATATAACCCCTTACACTCCGATGTCACCTCTGAGGCGCCGCCAATAGTCACCACTCTAAAATTAAAAATTTTTATAACTAAAAAGGTAGTAAACACATTATTTTAAGAATTTTAAAAATTATGAAAAAAATACTGCATTATGTATTTTAAATGATTTAGTGCTTATATTTGTTCAAACAGTATTTGAAACTACTCGGAGTGCACAGGGTTAATCCAAGCAATACAGGCTATTAAATGAATGGAATTGTGGTGATCCATAATTACTTTCACTTTTCTTTATCTGTCAATCACAATTTTCACGAAGCTTTTAAATTGAAACTGGAACCCAGATTGGGAGAAATTTGCCTTAGTGGAGGGGACATTATATAAAATTCAAAACGATATCTTATGAATTATGTATAATACCATATAGCATAATAGTATAGCATTTTCATAATAGCCTTTTTCTCTCTTAAAAAATAGGTACTTATCCATTTTGACGGTGCAAGTAAATTCTGTTACTTTATTTATTTTTATTCATTTTAAATATTTATTTATTCAAATGCAAAAAAAAAAAAAAAAAAAAAAAAAAAAAAAAAAAAAAAAAAAAAANAAGGAAAGGAAAAAAATTATAAAAATGAAAAGAAAAAAAAAACAGGAAAAAACCTATCTTAATTTACTACTTTGCATTGTTGTTTTTATTGCTTGCGTTGATAAAAGACAAAATTACCAATAAAAAGATTTTTTTATCCTGCATATTATACGTTTATATAACAAATATTAAATCCGAACAGTAACACAATTATATATAAGCATAAAAAATTGCAAATTATTAAATTTGAAATTAAATTTCATTAAAATTGTAAGCTTAATGTTATTCGCTTTTACGAAAACTGTAGATCAATTAGAAATTCATAACAATTCTCTTCTCACTTCAAAATCTTGTGTTTGAAAATTTCTCAATGTGTAAAATGTAGCTAAAAACATATGAATATAGTTTTCGAAATCAACTATTTATTTTGTTAGAACGTTTTATTTAGTACTCCTAAATTAAAATAGTATAATACTATTTTAATTGTACTATTGTAATTTACTTATATAAATTAAAATTATATAATATATTATGTAGTATATAAATTAAAATAGCATAATACTATTTTAATGTATGGTGAGAAACATTATGTATAAACATTAGTTGAAGAATAGATTTAATTGAGGAGGTTTGCACCTTCTTGTGCATTTTTGAAAACTATGACAAATGTCTTCTGATATAGAAATTCTGTTCATGTTAGGAGGAATTCACGTCGGTGCTTGTCCCGTTAATTGTATAGCTTGTTGATGATGAATTTTCTATAAAATAAAATAAAAAAATGTGTGAATTCATCAAAATAATATAAAATAAACAACTTATTTTAATATGAAAACGTAATTGTTTTTAAAAATTAAGACTTGTTGGATAAATAAACGTACACAGCATGTAAGAAGAAATATGTAGGAAAGGCAACTAAGTTATAGCTGTTCATCTAAAAAAAATTTAAGATGTTGGAGCAGTCCATTTTCTTTAACAGTTCCTTTGTTGCTTCGTGCGAATTTTCGTGCAAAAGTTCGTTAAATCTGTGTCCATTAACCTCAACTGGACGGTCACAGCGAGGGATGTATTTAAGATCAAAACTTTCAGTTTCAAACTTGGCATATCAATCTCAAATAGTTCTTTCAGTTAAACTGAACTTTCTATTTACAGCACAAATGTCACGAACAGCTATTATGGCTTTAAAAATCTTGATTAAAAACAAAAAAAAGGGTTCCAAAAATGCCAGCTTTTTTTTAATTGCCGTTTCATTTTTATGAACGAAAAATTAACATAAATTACTTCGAATAACGAGAAGAAAAAAAATAACTAAGCATGGATTCAGGTAAAACAAAACTTCTACTTTCGTAACACTTGAAACATCGAACAAAAGACATTTGATAGCATGTTGTTAAATTAAAAAATTGTCGAAAACTAAGCTGTAATTCCAATATTTTGTTGAGTATTTATTTAGCATTCACTATCAAGTAGCTCCTTAACTTTCCTTCTTATCTCAAAACTTTTTCCGCCATGTTCAAGAACATATATTATTCACTTACTTACTTCAAGATTTCGTTTGAAATAATTAATGCGTTCTATAGGATGTTTTGTACAGCAATTATTATACACTCTTAGAATTCTTGTCAAAAATGAAAAAAACACTGTCCAAAAAGCAGATACATTATGCATTGCAAATTAACATTTAAACTAGTTAAAAACAAAAGCACCATCAAAATCTAAAGAATCACGACTGAGAAAGGCAGAGAAGATCAAAACTTGTTTGATTGCGGGAGAAATTAAGGCGAGTTTAAATCCGATTACTCACAGCACTTAAGAGTTTCATTAGGCAATCAAACCGTTTTTGATGATTTTCATCCCATTTAACTCAATAATAATTCAACAGATTTCCAAAGGTTTTTTCTTCCTCGTTTAAATATTGACTCTCGACCTCTAATTTTACATCTTACACACGGATTCTAAAAATATGTATCATGGACGATGATTAGAGCCAGGATGATTCAGTAGCTGATGTTTTTCATCCCATTTAATTCAATAATACTTCAACAGATTTCAAAAGCTTTTTTTTACCTTTCTTAGCTAAAATATTAGCTCTCGACCTCTAATTTCACATTTTACACACGGATTCTAAAAATATATATCATGGACGATGCAGAGATGCCAACTTGCTCCGGACAGCAAATATATATTTTAAAGTGGTAGTTTATCAATTGTAATCCTTGGTTTAATAAATTCAATTTAGTAGATTTTTATCCACCACTATTTCTAAATAATTATTAGATTTATGTAATTAACCACTTTTTAGTTCTAATGTCATGCTAAACCTCTTAAAAAGAAAGCAAAAATAGTCAAATATATGCAAAATTTACTTTGTAGTTATTTACCGTTTTTGTAATTATTTTGGCTTGTCCGGAGCAGTTGGCATCTCTGACGATGATTAGTGCTACGATGGTTCAGTAGTCGATGTTCTGCGTTAATATTGCGGAAAACTGAGTTCGAGCCATGGTGTCCACGTGCTTCAGATTGATGGACACTGCTTTGTCAGACAATTTAGGCGGGTTTTCGAAGGCTCCGTCGTAATATGAAACGAGGCTTTTTTTCCGATTAACATGTTATCTTAAAAACTGCTGTGAGTTTTCAACTGTTACTCATGACACATAGGTCAAGTTTAACTTATTTAAACCCAGCGTTGTCTACGCTTATTTTGAAAATGGTACAAAACTGTAAAGGTGGAGAAAAGCCACAGTTTGGTGAAAATAAAAAGCGTTTGTGGTACAATTTTTTAATAGTTAAAAATTTACTCCGATACTGCTTTATCTGGACTCATAAAAATTTACAAAAACTGAGAATAAGGCAGTGATCTTGATAATTTTCATCTGGATGGAAAAATGTCTCCAAAGTGGATATTTTTAAAAAAGTTTAATTACTTTTAAAATATTTAAGTTATTTGTCTCTTCTATATCCCAGATAATTCTTCACGACAAGATTATACATGTAGCCTAAAATCATCGCATTGCTTTAAGTGTAAGGCTATGGATTTCTTATTTTCCTTGGTGAAACAGTTTCCTTGGTGAAAAGCAGCTCTCAAGTCGCTTTCCACACTTCCACTATTATACAGGTTGTCTCGAAATTGATGAGTCTTAAACTCCATGATTACTCTGGAAAACTATTTGGCAATTGCTGGAGTATTTTAATTATTAGTATTTTAATTTCTGTATCTGATAAAGATTACTTATTTTACTCCACTAAATCCTAGACTACAAGTGGTGAAAGTTTACTACGGTTAGCATATGTGAAATTCTTGATATTTAATGATAACCAACATCCTTTATTTGATGAAATGTAATCTATTTTACTCCAGTCGATCCCAGAATAGAAGTGACGAAAATCCATAACGATTTTCTTCATTTGTAATCAAGACTCTAGTGGAGTGGAATACCTTTACGTCAAATATTTTTTTCATACTGTGCAAAATGGATACCTTGATACAGTATCTAGCCAAAAGTATACGAACACCCACCTACAGTATCGTAGTATAGGGGTGTTTTCATTGCTCGGCCTTTGTCTCTTATTTTCTGTGGTTAGAAATGAAAATTCTATGATGTAAGGGAGAATTCTGGATAATGCTGCTCATCCAAAATTTTGAGGAAGCCCCATTTCTTTTCCAAAAGGATAACAGCTCCTTTCACTTATCGATACACAGCCATCATTTTGCGATATAGATAAAAAAAAACATAACTGACTCAGAAAATTGTTCTAAATCCCATAGAGCATTTTCGGGACCAATTAGAACACAGACTACTAAGACAGTCAAATCGACCATCCTCGCTGCTAGCTCTTACTTCAATTCTAATGGTCACCTATCAGGTAGGTACTTTACGCTGCAATAGAGTTGCACAATGGGCTATTGGCGAAGGTCTGGGAAAAATCCCTGAGAATGAGCCGAAGGCGTGTCATCGCTATTTTGATCCTCTGAAGAAGAGATGACTCCTCTGCTTTGGCAGCCCGACGATTTGCGCGCGAAGTCGAGCACTTTACTGTAGAACAGTTTAACGAGGACCTATACCGAGGATGATCAAAGTGGTGACCCACCCGCTTACTGAGCGCAGCCAGGGATGCTTGACTTCGGTGTTTTATTGGGAACCGTGTCCTTACAATCAGTCCGCTGCGAAATTGGTCACCTGTCAGAAGTTGGTGGAAGAAACTCTCCTTAGACATGTGCAGTCTGTCATCGATGCAAAATGGAACCAACATTATATTAGTGTTTGTCTCAGGAATCTCCGATTTCATACTACTATATGTCCGGATACTTTTCACTAGATTGTGTATGTAATGACTAAACAAAAGTACCATTGGAACTGAAATGTTGAGCAATTATACAGTATAAGAGTATATAATTCATACCATTTGCGTAGTAGTCATAAACTTTAGCCGTTCCAGGTTTGGCATTCGTCACTTTCACAAGCTGTTCAACTTGAAAATTAATGACCTGTACTTTGTTTGAAACCTGTAAAAAATTATTATACATTATTCCATGTGTTAGAAGAATCAATATTTCCAATCAACCCTTTCGTTACGAGCACTGTATTTAATCGTATGACCAGTTTGTACAAGCGCCGTATTAAGACGGTTTTATGATGCCCTACTTTTCCCGACCGAACAAGTCTGTCGAATGAGTTATGATGGTGAGAAGAAATTCGAAATATGCCTTTAATCATTTTTATTTAATTTTCACAAATTAATTTATGGATTAATATATTAATTTACTCAATTTGGCACTATCTTTCGATACATGACAAATATAAGATCGTCACCCTATCAGATTTGAGGTATAAAGGTTGAGGTATTTTCGATTATCTAAAAATTTTTTCTCTCAAAATTATGCCAATGCAATTCTTTAGTTTTTAAAATATATTTAAATAGTAAAAATTTATTAGTTTTTAGATTTTTGATAAATATCTTTGTTTTTGTGCTATCAAAGTTAAAGAAAATGTTAAACTATATCCAAATCGTTTTTCACCAATTTAATTAATTTACAATAAGAGTAGATTTAAAATATATAAAAACTGAGAAGCGTGTAGCTTCAAATTGTGTACTTAAAACCACAAATCGTATCATTTTATTTTCAACTTTTTTATTGTATTGTGCTCTCTGAAAATACCATATCAACAAAAGTTTGTTAAATACAAAAAATATCGAGAAAACATAAATTAAAAATTTTACCTAGAATCCAAGGTGACATGGCTAGAGGCTTCATAACGGGATAGCGTTTGACACCCGGCCCAATCTCCTTCAAATCATCGCTGGTACCATTGACCTCTATTGTTTTGAAGCCGAATGCGTTTTTATTTATATTACTTGCGAAATCTCCAAACATATTGTTATTTAATGCTTAAATTAGAAACTCCGAACACTAGCCTACCGACAGGCAATGTGCAAACTTAGCGACGCGATGCATCGTACAGTCGCATCACTGCAACGAAGCTGATTGCCGTAACGAAAGGGTTAATTTATATTATTGATCTAAAATAAAGTAAAAATAATAATTAATGAGCATACAATTTAGAGGAGCACTAAATAATGTCATTCATGTTTCAATAAATGTAATTAAATTAAAAAAATTTCAATAATAAGTAAAATAAATTAACTTACTTCGTCCAAGTAGAGTATGACTTTATTATTTTCCACATCTACTCTCAAAACTTTGTTATCATTGCTAAGTTTCACCTATAATTGTAATTATAATTGCAATTTTAAATCAAATATAATTTAAGTATACTCAATAATATCGAAACTTCAAAACTATTAGTTTTGTATCTTTATGTAAACAAGGTTTCTTTAGGTATCAGTTTTTTTAGTAAATAGATCCGGTTGAATAAATGTTGAATAATGTGATTTCAAAACAAAGCTTATCTTTTAATTTTTATTTTTTAAGAAACTATTTGACCGATTTAATTAAAAAATTTTATTTTGTCTTTTGAATTACATATTTTTACATGGTGTAAAAATTTGCGTCTTTTACCATTAACAAATTTTTTGACCATTCTAAAATTAAGTTATGATAAACAATAAATAAGTATAAAATATTTTTTCCTTGAAATAATCTTTGGACAAAGAGTTTCTAACTTGTTTTCGACGAATTATTTGATGAACTTAAATATTTTTAGAGATATGGTGAAATACGCCTTAAAGTGAGAGTAACATTAAGCAACCCTTATTTTCAACCACTTGGCCAGCTAAACTGTTTGGAATATATTTTCCAGTTTATAGCTATCGTCAAACTTTTTAGGCTCGCGAATCCAAATTCGTAAAAATTTAAGTGCGTTTATATATAAATCGTGTGTTTTCGTGTTTTATTTTTTAGCTTACAACATTATTTGTGCAATTTTATTAGCGCATTTATGATTAGATTTTCGAACTATTTAGATTGCATGTTAGTACGTATTGATTCGATCATTAGATAAAAAGTTATTTTGACGATCTGATTTCCATATTGCGCACTGTATGCCCGCCCTTAAAAATCAAATACCACTGATAATTATTTTGTTTTGATGCTATTAAGGTAAATTTTGTTAGAATAACATCCTCGGAATTGAATTTTTTAATAAAATTTCGTCCTGTCATTGATTGTAATTAACCATATTAAATTCGTCTAAAAAATTATCTTTTGCACATTTGTAAAAAGTTTTTTTCTACTTATCACCATAAGTATCGCTTTTTAGCGTGGTTTCTTGAAGTTCTTTTACCAAAAAAAAAAAAATAAATAAATAAATAAATAATAAAAAAGACACAGTTTAAATGCCTAACATTTGAGCCAAAAGCCTCAAATTTAAACCATATATACCATATTACGGTGAAGAATAATCTGGGCTGCAGAACGGACAAATAACTTAAATATTTTAAAAGTTATAGATTAAATTTAGTAATCCTCAATTTGGCGGCATTTTCGACTCAGATTAAAATGATCAAAATCTATGTCTTATTCCAATTTTTACCAAATTTTTATAAGCCCAGATAATACACCACAAACGCTTTACATTTCCCCAAAACCGGGTTTTGACCCATATTGACGTTTTGGGTCATTTTAGAATAAATATAGCTGGTGCTAGTTATAGATAGGCTAAGCTTGATCTAGCAGTCACGAGTAACTGTTGCCAACTTACAACAGTCTTAAAAACAGCATATTCATCGCTTTCGTCAAATAGTCTTAAAGTGATTACATTATATATTTACAGTATCTATATTTGATTACGTATGAGGAATGCATTTAATTTCCTTTTACCTTATTGATACTTTCTTTCACTGGTACAAATCCGGTGATTAACTTGATTTCTACTATGCTCATGCCCGATTTTAAACCTGTTGGTATATAGCTGTAAAATAAAATATAATTAAATTAATTTCTACACTCTATACTCAAAAAATGAAAATTTTCTGTCAAGATATATTAAAATTAGATTAAACGTATCAAGAAAGAAGATCATGAATACTAATGCAAAACACGATTTAAGATCCATCACGTGATTGATCAACAAAGATCAATCACGTAATAGATTTGAGACAAACATATCTGATGTTTTTAAATAGCTAAATATGGAAATTTTACACAATAAAGCTCAGGGAACGCTGTTTTGATCAGTTAATACAAATAGCTGTTTTAATTATTTGAATGTATAAAAAGCATGAAATAAGCTTTTTTTGGAAAGAGTGCAAATAAATAAAAATAATGTAAACGAAAATAAAAATAAAGAATAACACCGCAAGAGGTATAAATTTTTTTTTGGAGTACTAATTGGTTATAGGGACCATATATTGGCGATTGCTTTTCTAAATTTCACGGACCTTTATCCCTATAACATAGAAATAGAAATTTTGATATCACGATATGATGCCAAAAATATCGATGTCTAAAATTATGGCGATGTTTTTCCCAATTTAATTAATTTATGGTATTTTTATATTGGTTAATAATTTTCGATACACTAATTTATAAACACATTAATATCATATTAAATAACTATCGTTATATATAAAATTCACGTTATTATCTTTTTGATTAATTATGTAATCAGCAATGATCATGGTATTATCGTATTCGATAATCATCGCAATAAATTATTATCACAATTTTGGCGAATTTGATATTTTTGTTACCTTCAGTAGGCTAAATATTATCGAATTTGATACTTCTATGCGTGTTATCGGTTGAAGGTGACTTGCGTAAACTAAAACCAAGTATTGTTCATACGAGTGGGTGAACTTGGGTTTATGTATTGTAAACAGCCGACCCTATTTTATGGGTTTACGGCTACTAATGTTCAACCCCGTAGCTTTGTAATTTTGAACCCAATCCATAAGAAAAGGGAACTCCTGGATCAAGTATTGGGAGAAATTTACCTTCATGGAGGACTTTTTAATGGGGCTAACCCGCATTTGCGTTACGTGGAGAGAAAGAGCACGAGAACCTCCCACGGTTAGCCTGACGGCAAGCGGACTCTAACCCATGATACGTCTACCATTGAGGATATTTCAGGTCGGCACTGTGGTCGGTGCTAGCCGGATGCGGAATTCGTATCGACTGGGATTCCAACCCGTTTCGCCTCATTGGAAGGCGAACGCTCTATCCCCTGAGCCATCGCGGCTTTGAGCTAATGTATTTTATTTCATTTTATAATCGTCGTTGAACAGCCGACCCAATGTTTTGGGTTTACGACTACTAAGGTTCAACTCCGTAACCTTGTAATTTTTGAACCAATCCACAAGACAAGGTAACTCTGGGATCTGTACCCCCAGAGGTATTGATTTATAATGGAAACATGGAGGACTTTGCGACTAGGCAGATTTAACGTGCATCAGTCACCACTTACTACACGGGGAGTCTTCGGTCGGAGGAGATCGAACCCACAAACTCTTTGACATGGGTCCAGTGCCCTACCAACCAGGCTATCCCGGCCCCGGGCTAATGTGTTATGAAAATTGGTGGTGAATGTAAAGGTATTAAAATGTATCTTATTTTCTTACTTAAGCTACCACTTTTGAAATTTTTTAAGGATCGACCGAATGAGGTTTATTGTTTTCGAAATAAATATTTCTAAAATTGTCTGCCGTTTCTCGATAATCTAAAATATTTTAGGCTATGATACTTACCTGACAAAAACATTAATGCTAGCCTTCTTACAATTTGAATCTAGACAATCTCCATTCACTTGAATCGAAAATTTTTTCTCCTCCGGTGGTAATTTTGTGTTATATCTTAAAGTGGTCTACATGCAAGAAAATAACAAGAAATGATTATAAAAAAATTGTCCAAGAGTAAGCGTAACCGATTAAAATGGCCTGTATCAATAATACAGCGATGAACTTTTAAGGAAGGTGGTAGGCATCATAAGAATTGAAAATTGCACAGAGACCCATGTCCGATAATGTTATAGTAAGTTGAAAATAAATGTTATTGCAGTACACTTATAATGAATATCACAGTCAGCTAAAAATGGGTATCGTTATTCTTTAAATAAATATCATTATTCTCTAACAATAAAACTTATTTTACGCTAATAAATGTTACTTTATTCTAATAATAAAAATTGTTGTACGCTGATAGTAAATGTCATTTTACTTCAATGATAAATATCTTTTTACGCTAATATAAAATGTCACTGTACGCTAATAATAAATATCATTTTACGCTTTTAAGCTAAAGATGAGTTTTGTAAAAATAAATATCATTATTTTCTTAAAATAAACGTTATTTTATGCTAATAAATGTCACTTTATTTAAATGATGAAATCGTTGTACGATGTTAATAAATATCATTTTACTCTGATAACAGATATCATTGTACACTTATTTAAAATGTCATTTTACGCTTATGTAAAATGTCATTTTACGCTAATGTAAAATGTCATTTTACGTTAATGTAAAATGTCATTTTATGCTAATAATAAATGTCATTTTATGCTAATAACAAACGTCAAGATACGTTAAAAATAAATTTCGTTATTCTTTAAATATCATTCTTTTCTAATAATAAAACTTATTTTATGCTAATAAATTTCACTTCACTCCAATAATAAAAATCGTTGTACGCTGATAAGAAAAATGTCATTTTACTCTAATTATAAATATAATTTTATTACTCCAATATAAAATGCCACTGCACGTTAATAATAAATGTCATTCTACGCTGAAAATAAAGTTTGCTATTCTCCAAATAAATATCATTATTCTCTAATAATAAAACTTATTTTATGATATTAAGTGTCATTTTACTCCCAATAATAAAAATCGTTGTAAGCTGATAATAAACGTCATTTTACTCTACTAATAAATGTTATTTTACAATTATATAATATTTAATTTTGCACTTTTAATAGGTGTCATTTTAAGCTATTAATAAATATCCTATTGCGCTATTTATAAATGTCATTGTACGCTGATAATAAATCCCACAGTAAGCTCTGCATTTACTGTGATTTTGCTGAGTTCTAAGCGACTGTGCTGTCAGATGGTCCCCTGGATCACCAGATTTATGAGACCTTTATTTTTTTTTCATGGGGAGAGAGTAGAGTTTAGAGTGGAGTTAGACTAGAGAGTGGGATGGATCTAGAGGCATGACTCATCTGCGCTACAGCTATGGATTGCGACAGCAAATCGGCTGATTTAAAAAATTTAATCAAGTGAGAATGACTAACCTAAATCACTTTAAATACGAAAGAATTCCCAATTATTAAAATGAGCAAAAGCATAAAAATGTGCTGAAGCTGAAATATTTTAAAAATAAATAAGATTTAATTAGGTGATCTTTATCTTCTTTATCTTACTAGTATAATAAACTTTACTTTATAACTTTATCTTACAAAAATTGCTTTTAAATGCTCGCCACTCTTCTGTACATGATCAGCAAGTCTTTATCTAACATCCCCAATTACCTTTTGTAACATCTTCACAAGAATTTGTTAACAGAATAAGCAAGTTGCACTTCTGTCCACTGCTTCATTGTAACTAAAAATTCTTGAAAGTTTTCTACTAGATGGCGTATCGTTTTCATTTCTCCCGCGGAATTAAAACAAGAGCTGTTGTCAATTCGCCCTGTTTACTTCCGCACTTAGTACAATAGGAGAAACTCTGGGATGTTTGACCATGTCCATCTTTTCCCTGACCTTTGACCCTCTCCTAAATGTTTATCACTACATTTTTGTGACACCCTGTATAAGCAATTTATATGTTACCTGAATAAGACCGCATCCACTGCCCTTAGCTGTAATATTAATTCCTTTGCTAATGTCAGATACTTTGTAACGCTGTACCAAAAGCTTATTTTTATCATTGATTTTTATCATTTGTTTCAGTCCTCCAGATGTTTGAATTTGCAGATCTAGTGGGTCTTTATAAACGAGTTTTGCAAACTGCGAAAGTGCATGTAAACCAACGCAAGTATCCTACAAGAAAAAAAAATTAGTGGTAAACATACATTTGGACATTTAATAATTGGAAAACTTCATTTGAAGAATATGTCGATATCACTGTTTAAAAAAAAAGTTAGCCTCCCGTTCATGTTTATACAAGTCGTATCTGTTCTAATTCTAAAACTAGTTTATGTGCCGCTGAGTTCTGCTGCCAGAAGATATCATATATCGGCCAGAATGGATGGTTCACCGAATGTAAACAATAACAAACTTCCGAAAACCAGAAGAAATTTAGACTTACGAGCCGATATGTGAATAAGCTTAATATTTTAGGAAGTTTTGTTATTGTGATTTTCATCAAATTTACGCAAAATTTTACCATTTATAAGAGTTTTCTGTAATTTATAAATTCTAGCAGGTCGTGCTCCGAAAAAAAATTTAAGAAAATTAATATCCCATAAATAAAATGTATGGTTTTCCACGTTTTGAATGTTATCTTTTATTAGGCTATAATTGTGTAAAATATCGCCGGTTGTTATTTTTTATGTAGCATCATAACATGCTAGCGAAGTCTTCCGAATTTAATTGTTATTTGTTTCGTTGAAAGTCAAATTGAAAGAGCGCGTAATAGCGTGGAGAGTACAAAAGTATAATAATACTGAATATCGCGTTTTTCCAAACTTAGGCATAAAAATCAATAGGAAGTAGTAACAAAGTAGTTTTATGACGAATTTTAACCTTTAGCTCCATCTGTGCTTAGCTTTACACTGTCAATCATTCATAGGATGGTGACTGATGCACGTTAAATCTGTCGAGTCGCAAAGTCCTCCATGTTTCCATAACAAATCAATACCTCTGGGGGTAAGGATCCAGGAGTTACCTTTTTTCTAGATTGGTTCAAAATAACAAGGATACGGAGTTGAACACTAATCTTCGTAAACCCAAAATTGGGTAGACTGTTCAACGACGGATATAAAATAAAATAAAAACCATTCATAGGAAAACGAACTTAATGACTTTAAAGGTTGTATCTCAAAATAAATAAGAATGAAGTTGTTCCATTATTCAAATAAGGCCTACATCTTGGGAGCTTTGGCACATTATTTGTAAATCCTAGTCGATGTTTCATGCTTATGGTTTATTCAAAAAACTATATGCAAGAGTTAAAGAGCAACACTTTCTAGGGAAATAATGCAAAAGAATTTTAAAATATCTTTTTACATACTTTTGACAAAAGACATTTATTAAGTAGTTATATAAAAATTAAATGCAACATAGCAATATTATTTTTTAAGGAAAATTTCTTAAAAAATTGATAAAAATTTTTCCATTTCAGAGTTAAAATTTTTACTTCCTGAAAAAGCAATTTTTATTACCCATTGGCAAAATGGGTCTTGGTTTGGATTTGATGGCATCCACACACTTTTCAACTGTGTTCAAGAGTAATAGTAAACAGTGCGCATGCGTCGTAATTGCATGCGTTGCTATGGCGACCGCTGCTGTTTTTCTTTTTATTTTCACTAGCAGGCATTTTTAATGTATTTACATAATAATAATTTAAAGTATTTTTATATTCTTTTTTATTATTAACGTATAATTGCTGGCTTGACGGTGATTTCAATATAAATATGAATACTGGAGAAGGAAAAGTATTTTGTGACGTCTTGAAACACGTACCATAGCCAGGAATTAAAAGCCAATCTGACGACAAACATCAATTGAGACAGTTTTTGTAACCCATGATTCGAAATGTTGCGTCGTTTAACGGAGTCAACAAATAAAGAAAAAGCATTTAACCAATGGGTGACCACTGATCGTAATAAGGTGATCACAACTTTTTATTGTTATTTTAGTTAATTTAATTATTTACACAACTCTATTTATCACAACTTTTNAAATATCCTATATAGTAACTAAAATAACAATTTAATAGTAAAATTTGATTATTTACAATGTTAACATTCATTTTAGTAGAATGGGTAGACTCGCCCCATACGAGAGATTTGTCAGCAGTTCTATAAAAATATACAGTAACAGCGTAACTGTTAATATTTTCTAAAATCGATTTCACAGCTTTAAAGAGGGATAAATAGCGATTCCGAAACACCTATTAAAAGCCTTTTTTCTTTAATATTTACGAAAGTTTGACCACTTGAAAGTTGACAAACTGAAAAAATGGGTAGACTCGTCCCGGTTTACGGTAGACTGTTCAACGACGGATATAAAATAAAATACAAACCATTCGTTGGAAAAAGAACTTAAAGATTGTATCTCAAAATAAATAAGAGGGAAGTTGTTCCATTATTCAAATAAGGGCTACATCTTGGGAGCTTTGGCACATTATGGGTAAATCCTAGTCGATGTTTCATGTGTATGGTTTATTCAAAAAACTATATGCATGTGTTAAAGAGTAACACTTTCTAGGGAAATAATGCAAAAGAATTTTAAAATATCTTTTTACATACTTTTGACAAAAGACATTTATTAAGTAGTTATATAAAAATTAAATGCAACATAGCAATATTATTTTTTAAGGAAAATTTCTTAAAAAATTGATAAAAATTTTTCCATTTCAGAGTTAAAATTTTTACTTCCTGAAAAAGCAATTTTTATTACCCATTGGCAAAATGGGTCTTGGTTTGGATTTGATGGCATCCACACACTTTTCAACTGTGTTCAAGAGTAATAGTAAACAGTGCGCATGCGTCGTAATTGCATGCGTTGCTATGGCGACCGCTGCTGTTTTTCTTTTTATTTTCACTAGCAGGCATTTTTAATGTATTTACATAATAATAATTTAAAGTATTTTTATATTCTTTTTTATTATTAACGTATAATTGCTGGCTTGACGGTGATTTCAATATAAATATGAATACTGGAGAAGGAAAAGTATTTTGTGACGTCTTGAAACACGTACCATAGCCAGGAATTAAAAGCCAATCTGACAACAAACATCAATTGAGACAGTTTTTGTAACCCATGATTCGAAATGTTGCGTCGTTTAACGGAGTCAACAAATAAAGAAAAAGCATTTAACCAATGGGTGACCACTGATCGTAATAAGGTGATCACAACTTTTTATTGTTATTTTAGTTAATTTAATTATTTACACAACTCTATTTATCACAACTTTTTATTTTTATTATTATTTTTAGTTAATTTAGTTTTAGTTGTAAAAGTTATTGCGATTTTAAATGTTTTTTCACCCATTTTTTGCCTTGATCACTGACCATATATTCCTCGTTGCCAAAATGAGTTGGAACATTTATTTCTTGATCTTCATTTTATATTCGCTTACTTTTTTTGTTGAAAATGAGGAAAAGAACGGGTTGCCATGGAATTGTCAAGGTTTAAAACAATTGCTGTTTATCAACTCATTTTAAAAAATGGTTTTGATAGCGTTGGCTAGATTTCTAAATTAAATTTAATGGTTTTTAAAGTATACGAAATTGAGGCTGGTGTTTCTAGGAAATGAAGAAGTTTTACATATGTTAAAGTATGTACCAGAATTAAGCTCTAAGGTACAACATTCTTTTTCCCATTCAAAAGGTTTTTATTTAAGTATTAAAACATACTTAAACATAATTACCTGCGTTGATGAGAATCCACCGTATGGATTAAAATTGTTAGTCAGATATCGTACGTAAGCCACAACTTCTGAAGATTTTTTTCCAACTGCAAGGGTCGATAATACGGCATATGCATCAGCTTCGATTACGATATTTTTAGTTCCGTTGACAATTATAAAGGAATCCACACCCTCTATAAAAGAAAACTGTATTATAATCTGTTACTTTAACATAATCGTTGCACATGTGAAGAACGTATCAATGGACATCGCAACTAATTGTCGATAAGCAAAAAGCGGACAATTAAAGAAGAAAAAAGATTGGAAATTAAACATGTTAGATGTCGATCCAAAATTAAGTTCCTCAAATAGTTAGAATCGAACATTGTCATAAATTAAATAAATACTGATGACAACTTGAAATTAAGTTTCTTGAATAGTTCGAATAGACCATTAATGTGAATTAAATTGCAGACATCGACTCGAATTCAAGCTCTTCAATTAATTCAAATACATCATTATTGGAAATTGAATAAATATTAAATTGTCCTTAATTGTTATTGTTACCAGAAATCATGGTATCATAGAACTTAAAATTCAAACCATTTCGGCTTATTCGTTGTCTAGCTTCATTAATGTGATTCTCAGCAACCTTTTTCTTATCCATCAAAGCCTCAGCATACGCGTACAAGAGTTGAGAGTAAGGGTTAGTTGGGGGGTTTTGTTGCAGACAGTTGAAAGCTTTATTGATAGCAGTTGAATTAGTAGAGTTTGAAATGACGAGTGAAGTTAGAACGTAAGCTGTAATGCTGCCGTTAGATTTCTTCTCTTTCAAACCACCCTGTAAGAAAAAGTAAAAAAAATTTTAAGAGAATTACAGTTAATTTAATATTTGCAAAAAAAGAAAACAATTCTTTTTTTTTTTTTAAACATGCTTGCTTATTTCCCTGCATGCAAAATGAAAGCTGTCACTACAATTTACACTCGATCGTAAAATAAAGAAGGAAGAAAAAAAAGGAAGTTGAATCGTTCCCAGAATAATTATGAACTTTCTCCCAAAATACTCGAAAACTTGCGTGTGGCTCATAATTTCCTTCTGGTGAAATATTTGGTAAGATACCGTTGCCAATTTTTCAAGCAGGGAATGAAGTTTCAACCATACTCTTTGTTCTTTTGAATTTGTCAAAAAGGAGGAACAAAATAGCAGTGAGAGAAACACAACACTATGCATAAGCGCTTACCTATTAACTCACGCTTTCTGCGTAATTGTTTTGTGAAAGTTTCTACTACGACTACAAGTGGCCGCCCCTCTTCGTATATCAACTCGGTAAATTCTTCGATTAAAATTGATGCCTTTGAAAAGAGGAATGAAGCACTGTAGGGGAGCAATCCTTATTTTGAATTTATTTTTATGCAAATGTATAATTCCGAGCAATTGAAACATTAAAGCCAGAGACAAAAAATTTAAAATTGAGCTTTTAATAAATTTGGAATTTGTGTATAATATGCTATGTAATACAAAAAAAAATTGTTTCTTTTTTCAAAATTTTTTTTTTTTTTATAAATTTTTTAAAATTTTATTTCAGAGTTTATAGTATCAGTAAGGGAGAGAAAATAGTTAACCATCAGCTTTTCTAAAGATTAATCTGAAAGGATTTACGTTGTTTTCTCAATAGTATATCGTAATATACCGAATACACATACAGCAGTATATCGAAATTTTTTTTTCTAAATAATTTCTAATTATTGCGCTAGAAATTATATTTTTTATTTTCTTTATTTTTAATAAAATGTGCTTAAATTTTCATAAATCTGATAGGCATTTAAATTTTAGTGACCTAACTAATGACATTATAATTTCCTGATAGTAACTTCAAGATTAAAGTTGGAAATTTTGTAAAATAAGCTATGTGACCTATTTTCTTTATTTCCAATAAAATATGTTTAAATCTTCTAATCTGATACATATTTAAGATTTAGTGACCTTACTAATGACAGTAACTTCATGATAGCAACTTCAAGATTAAATCATTTTTAAAATATTTCCCTTAAGCCAAATATTAACCTAACAAGAATTTATTTGCTAAAAAAAGTAGTACTAGAAATCTAGTACCAATCTTAAAGTTTCAGTGTACTTTGACGTCGATAGTATGCTTCTCGGACTAGATGACTAGGACCGTTATTCTCTTTGCTTCTCTCTATGCGAGCCACTGTTGCAGTTAGTTATAAAAATGAATTATTTTTAGCTATTCTTAGGCCCGTGTACAATTTCGTGAATAAGTGCTGAAACTTGTTTTATTCCTTTCCTTGAACATCTAAAAAAGCGAGGGTGCATATCTGAGATCCGCAGCGGGGGAGGGGAGGAAAAACTAATATTGGTGGGATGCTAACTGTATTATAAATAGGCATTATAAACAAAAATAGAATGTTTTAAACGTAAAAACACTCTTAACTTTTGAACAATTAGTTCTATACCTAATATTAAAGTTAGCATAAAAATACCTCACTTGTCTGGGTAGCAAAAATATGGTAATATGAACCTGTAAACTACCAATAAAAAATAATACTTTTTACGTCCTTTTAACTTATAAACTATTTGTTCTATTGACAAGTATTTGGTCTCCCATAATTCAGCGTAAAAACCACACGAATAATAGTCTCTTATGTATATAGAACAAATAAGCATAACTGTGTACGAAATCAGTTTCCTGAATATAGCGATGAAAAAAAAAACGTATTTATTTTATTTGTTACAGTTTCAAAATTTGAATGGGTTTTTAAGAAGCTTTTAACATATCATTGCGCTTTTGTGAAAGCGCCTTTATAGTCGGCTTGTAAAAGTTAAGTGGGTTAATTTACGTTTGCACACTTCATCTACTGGTTTGAATTTAATAGACCCACTTTAATGTATTGACCCATTTTGATGCATTTGTTTCAAATCACTGGTGTGCCATAGCTCAATTAGGAACTTGCAACTCAAGAAGAAGTGAAGTCAGTATGCGGTTGAAATCAGATTTAATTGGATACCTGTAAGCGACGTCACATGTCTGTGTCGAATCTGATTCGCTTCCGAATCTACAAATGTCAGGATTCACCTATGATGACGTCACTGACAGATATCCAGTTATTATGAGGCATAAGCATACATACGATCGTTCTGGTACTTTATAATGAAGAGCTAGAATTTCTGGTATTATAATTTATTCTGGGTCAAAACAAAGATTGGTAGAGAAGAATGAAAGAAGGAAATACAGATTTTCTGTTGATCTTTTGAGCTTTTCCTCTTTCATATTTTGTTTCGACCTAAAAAGAATTGCTATACTACCAAAATGATCGCTGATGCCGATACTAGGTGATCATGTTCGTACAGGATCCAATGCAGTATTGCATCCCATGCATCCGATTTGTCTGAAATCTAGCTAACGAATGAGTATCACCAATTTTAGTTATTTCTGTACTTTGTGCATGATTGATTTGAAGTATTTTGCTTTGAAAATTGATGCTTCAATATATTTAACTCACTTTTATACGAGAAATGCTTGCGGAAAGTGTTCTAAGAACCATAAAACTAACGTAAAGAATTTAACATACTTCTATATCTATATGAACAATCTCTCCGTAATTTGGAAAACATCCATCATTCCTTTGTTTGGATACTATCCAATCTTCCATTTGCTTCAGAACATCATCATCAATATAAATGTATTTCTTAGCTTCGTAAAATGAGCGCAAGACAAATGCTGTCAAAAACATACTTCCTTCCTCATCAGAAGTGCCAAATGCACTGAAAGATCCATCGCCATGCCGATATGTCAACTCACGCTGATATCCTAGAAGAGACGAAATTTAGTACATTCAAGGTGTTCTGTAGTCACCACCCATCATATATGTATATATTAAGTGATCTTGTCAAAAGAGAATTTTGAGAACTACACTTTAGGGGTTACGAATGGAAGACGGAAAGAAATGAAGAGTTTTTAGAATTCAACATCATTATTGGGCCGAATCGCAATAAAGGTAGAACTAAAAACATCAAAACTACTTCATTTGTTAAATGAAACTATATAAGAAAAAACGTTCTTAAGGGGTTTTATTGGAATTTCTAATTGTTATGAATAATTTTTACAATTCAATCCTTTAAATTGGAATAATGATATTAAAAGACAATTAAGAAAGATGATTAATAAATATTGCAAGTAAATACTTTAAAATTAGGAATAAAGAAACATTTTTAAGGTAAGCAATATCTTTATAAATTCTATTAATTTTATTCTGTTGTTAAATAAACAAATTTGGACCTTTATGCTGGAAAATTGGATCATACCATGCATTTAATCTGCCCAATGGTAATGCAAGGGCCATCACTTTTTTTTCACTTCATTTTTGTGCAAACCAAATCAAAATAATCTCTCTAATATATTTCCCTTACACGGTGACAAAAAAAGCCTCATTACAACTCCCCGAATGGTAACGCTAGAAAATCGATCAATGATTGCCGCTAAAGATGTCACATGCCAAATCTAGCTGAGGTGTCAACATATAGCGCTTTTAAAAACAGAAACTGAAATAACCAGAGAGAGCATTCTCACCAAATGTGATCTCTTCCGAAATTCACCCTATCAGCTGCGGCAATCTCATACTATTAAGCTAGGCAGAAGTGAGTAGTCTTTGTCGATAGATCTCTATTTTACTATTTTGTCGAAAGCTCTTTTTTTCAGGAATTTATAAATTACGAATTTATTTGATGACTTTTGATTTATATCACGAATTTATTTGTTTTATTATTGTTATTAGTTATTCATTGAAAAATGACTCTCAGTTGTGCTGTTACGCTTTAAGATTTTATACTATGGCACATTTCTAATAGGATTAACGAATTACATGTCATTTATTTGAATTCAAATTTATTTTAACGACTTAGTATTTACTAAAAATATGTAATTTTTTTTAAAAAAAAGTTGTTATATGAATTTGAATGATTGTTTTGAATTCTTAGAATTTTGTGCATTTGCAATGTACCTAAGTTAGTAGCGAGCGAAGCAAGCTTGGTTTGCGAAGCAAAGCATATAAGATTGCGTAGCAATTTTCGGGGGTTGGCGAGTGTTAGCGAGCAGGGGGCGCAGCCCACTAGTAATTATTATTACTTTTGTATTTGGAGTCTATCTATTGAAAAATGAAGGACATAAGTCGGACATATTTCAATACTTTAAACTGCTCTCCTAAGTTCGTTTGTTAAACGCTAGTTTCAAAAAAAAATTAAACAATATTTTTAAAATTTTTATGTCAACGTCATAGAGTTAACATAGTAAAATATCACTTTAAAAATAAGTCATCTTGACAATTCATTTTTTATTTCTCTGATAAAGTATCTTAGGCTAAAATAAAAAATGGCGTACAATAATTAATTTAATTTTACGAAAAATATTATGCATAATTTTGAATACCAGTTTTGTGGAAGCGTTGCAATCAATAACTGAAGAGCTTAGTATAAGGCTTTTGGAACCCATTTGGCGAATGTGGGAGGCCCCCCGGATACAAAGGGCCCCAGTCCCCACTGAAAACAATAGGTGATATTTTGAATTAAAGAAATATCTAATATTAAAAAAAACTATTATAAGGTTGGCAACCCTGAGATCAATCAATCCGTGCATGTGTGTGTCTATCGAACGGAACGGCGAATCTAACGTCGCTTCTTTTTGGTCAGTGCATTTTTTCGCGTCTATTATGGGGGACTTCCAGACGCGCCGTTTGACGCCAGACGTAATTTTTTTTCTCCACACTACTGTTCTCGTCGTTAAAGTGACAAACTTGTATAGTTTACTAATAAATGATAACTTAAAAGTTATAAAGACCGGACCTTTCTCTTATTTTACTTATAATTGAAAGTACATAATCAGTATAAGAAAAGATATCAAAGAATTATAAATCATGTTTTTTTTGTTTTTAATGTATTTTTTCAAGACTAAATGAATTTTTTAATCGATTTTTAATGATAATTTGTGAATTACTGCACTCATTACAAAGTATTAAAATGTGACGTGAAGAAAAATATTACATCGATTATCTCGTGTCCTGTTTATTACCAGAAAATTATCAAGTTCATTGTTTATTTTCAGAAAAATATCAAATATGTCTGGTAGAAAATATAAAAGTGGAGCTGAGAAACGGAAATTACAGCTAGATTGAGAAAAAGAAAGAAAGAAATGCTCAAAAATTGAAACTTTTCTTTTAATTAGAACATAAAAACGAGAATGAAATAGCTGCAAATTTATTAACAAGCAAAAAGGAAGGGATCTTATCCGAAGAGAATCTATTTGAAGGGAGCAGAAAATCGCAACACCAGGAGAAAAATGCAAGTGATGAAAATGTGCTAAGTCTTGACTACCAGCAACCCTCTGATCCTACTGAAAACTATATTGGTGTTCAGCAAGAGGACGGTAATACCGAGGCGGAAAGAAATTTAGAGAATATTAAGTTTGAGAAATATGTTGACGTGGGCTTGTGGCCAGAATTGCTAAATAATGATTTTATTAATGACATCCTCTCACATGAAACGACTGACCTTCAAAATAAAGATCCGAAAAATATGCATTCAGCTTCAATAAAGAAATACAAAGAACAAAGCAGAACATTTTGTAATAGGTATTTCATTAAGAAAATGAAAAATGGTCAATCACTGAATCTGGAAAGATCTTTGTTGAGAACGGAGTTTGTAAGTGGCGCTGAAGTTATGACATCATCATTATTGTTTTTGATCACCTGATAAAATGACACGCGCGTCAACGGCTCGCGATCTTGTTATCGTTTTTTCCTTTAATAAACGTTATTTTTTGTTAAATGAACTTGAATAATTTTTAAACTAACAACACACCCGCATCTGGTAGATGCAGCCCATAGATTATGAAGTTATTTTAGTGTTGTTCGCAACAATCTTTTTTATGTTATTCAACCAGGGTTGGTACTGTTTTTTGTTTGACTTGCAAACTTTTCTTTCTCTAGGATGTCACATATAGAAAACAAATATAGGACAACAATGTCGAATCATCGACTAAATCATTTATCAGTTCTTTCCATAAATTGTGATTTAACGATGGACTTACAATGTGATGAGCAAATAAAGGAATTTGCAGCACAAAAAATGCAGAAAGGTTGCTTTATAATTTATATAACATAACTAAGCATAACCTGCCAATTTCTTTTGCGATAATGTTGTACAGTTGCTGTTTGTATAAACAAATAAAAATAAATAAATAAAAAAAAATTATTTTGTTGTCCTATTTTTTTCTATATACTTATCTACATCACTATAGATGACAGTTTTTTGACAAAATGGCTATTAGGGTCCCTAAGTAGTTTCAGCCCAGGGCCCCACAAATTCAAGATCCGCCCATGGAAGGCATATTAAAAAAACAAACTTTTATATACTGTTTTTATTAAAAATAATTTAAGAAATTATTATTTTTTTAATTCTTTTTTTGTCGATAGCTGTTTTAGTAAGAGGAAACAAAAATTAATCTCCATTAATTGCAACCTAAAAATATTTATGAAATAAAAATTTATGTCGTGTTTTGTATGTTTTTTGTGCTTCTACCTGTCCAGGACTCTCGAAAGAATAAAAAAAATAGTGCTTCCACAGGCAGGCGCGCATAAAAACAATCCTTACAACTACTGGAACTGAATAGAGATTTTGAGAGCCCTGATTGGATCTTTAGTTTCCGTCATTTGTGACGTATTTCTATTTCATTCATAGCCACAAAGACTCGAGGCCTCTCTGTAAATTTGTGATGTCATCCTCGGAAGAACTTGAAGAGCTGATTTGTATTAAGAGAAAACTATAATAAATAGTTCAAATATTTTATAATTGAAGTAAAATATTTTTGCTATAGCTAATTTACTGCCACTTAAATATTTATAAGTGGTGATTTTTCAGTTTTTTATTAGAATAACTCATTATGTATCTCGTTATAACTCAATAAATTAAGCATGCAATGTTGTTATGAAACAATATTATTTGTATTTCAGAATAGTAAATGATTTTATGAAAAAATTCTTAAAACAAAATTCCAGAACTCAGCCAAATCTAAAAAAAATCGTAAAAATCAAATCGGATAAATCAAAGACCGTATCATGGGGAATTCGTAAACTAAAACTTTAGGACCATTTCTATAATTGCCTTTACATTTCAGTATTGTACATGTAAATGGCATGCTTAAAATTCATATAATAACAGATATAAAGAATAGCACAACACAACCAGCGGACAAACGAAGCTGTTGTTAATTTTTCAATGGCAAATATTTAAAATTGGTGTCTACTCAGTTGAAAACTACTGTTTGTGACGTCACTAAAAGATCTTGGGGGATCCCAACGGCCCTATTTCTCTATGGCTATGTTTCATTTCGTTATGGCGTTCGCGAATGGAGAAGCGTGTCATTACGTATATGTGAATACCGCTATGAACGAGTTAATCTAATATGCATTGTTAAAATAATAACAGTATACTTACCTGTGTTTAAGTTACGTATAACCTTAGTCTTGATATCTTCCGTGAGTTTACCAATGTGCTTAAGATAGTCTAAAACTAAGTAATTTGGAGTGAATTTGACCATGTTTTGTTCACCACAACCAGTTGGTAAGGAAACTAAATTATCCAAATTGTTGATAGCAGGACCCAAAATATTTCCTAGGACAAATCATACAGATTAGTCTATTTGTACTTAAATGTGAGCCATTTGGATTCAAAATCAATTCATTTCTTTGGGTATTGTTTGCTTAAAAAACGATTAACACTACTTCGAGTATTCCAGTTTTCTTTTCTTTTTTTTTTTTAAATCTTGATTTTTCTTTACTAACGCCAGAGTTAATTTACAGTAGTCCTTTATAAGCTCATCTAAGGAATGTAATCAGCTGTGTAATTGAAAATCAATGGTACTTCACGATTGTTTTCAGGAAAGTACTTCAAAGTACTTCACGATTGTTTTCAAGAAAGTACTTCAAAGTACTTCACGATTGTTTTCAAGAAAAGTGGCTTGTCAACTATTTTCTTTTGATTGCTAATGCTACGAACGCTAAAATAGAATTTCGAAAAATTAGAAAAAAATAAAAAATTGTCGCGATAAGTAGCTTATAATACAAATATGCGAAGTATATAAAAATCTTCATTTTGTATTTTTTGTCGCTTAAGTTGATTTTTCTATTGCAAGACAATAATGATACATTTCGTGCATTGTCGATTCTGACTTTTGTTTCACATAAGTCTACATGCAACTTAACTTATAACCAGCTGAATTCAAACGTTTTTGAAACTAACTTCATGTTGTTTTCAAGGTTTTTTTCTGATCGTTTTAATCCCTTCAGCTATTCTGGTAAAAAAAACTTTCTTTATCTTTAAAAGTATTTTTTTTTTAAAAAATATAATCATTTATCCATCTTAACAATTAAAACATATACAAATCAAACTTAACATATACAAACATATACAAACAACTAAATACAAATGCTAAAAATGACTTTTTTTCGATCGAAAGATTTATAGTTTTTCATAAATAGAACTAANGATTAACACTACTTCGAGTATTCCAGTTTTCTTTTCTTTTTTTTTTTTAAATCTTGATTTTTCTTTACTAACGCCAGAGTTAATTTACAGTAGTCCTTTATAAGCTCATCTAAGGAATGTAATCAGCTGTGTAATTGAAAATCAATGGTACTTCACGATTGTTTTCAAGAAAGTACTTCAAAGTACTTCACGATTGTTTTCAAGAAAGTACTTCATGATTCTTTTCAAGATAAGTGGCTTGTCAACTATTTTCTTTTGATTGCTAATGCTACGAACGCTATAATAAAATTTCCAAAAATTAAAAAAAATTTTTTTCGCAATAAGTAGCTTATAATACAAATATGCCAAGTATATAAAAATCTCCATTTTGTATTTTTTGTCGCTTAAGTAGATTTTTCTATTGCATGGCAATAACGATACATTTCGTACATTGTCGATTCTGACTTTTGTTTCATATAAGTCTACATGCAACTCAACTTATAATCAGCTGAATTCAAACGTTTTTGAAACTAACTTCATGTTGTTTTCAATGTTTTTTTCTGATCGTTTTAATTCCTTCAGCTATTCTGGTAAAAAAACTTTCTTTATCTCTAAAAGTATTTTTTTGAAAATATAATCATGTATCCATCTTAACAGTTAAGACATATACAAATCAAACTTAACATATACAAACATCTACAAACAATTAAACACAAATGCTAAAAATGACTTTTTTTAAAAATATTTTTCGAAATAGAACTAAAAATTTTATTTCTGACTTTTATTTATTTATTTTTTGGAAGAATCTAACTCAATTACAATATAAGTCAGATACTAGTGGCTTTTACTATCAAAATTAACTAACCAAATTTGTCTAGTCTTTAATCTGGATCCAAAATACATTTATTATTATATGAATTTCTTCACAGTTTATCTTCTTAAGAAAAATACTTGCTTTGCATTAATTGATGTGTAATTTGAGGTATTTTTCCTTGATTTTGTTTATCTCTCTATAACTTTATTTTTGTGTCAGGTATAGTTCGAAGCCCCCCTTTTTAACATTTTTTTGATGGTGGGCACTTGGGATGCATTGTCCCATTGTCCAGGAGTGCCAGAACTGCTACTCTTTTCTCGTTACCCAGTGGGCACCTGGGAGGTGGAGCAGCGTCGCCCACGTCGCACAACCACAAACCCGTTTATAGGGCGCGTCACATTCACACAATCACACACAAAGGAGAAAGGGCACAGAACACAGAGAGAAAGAAGCATCCATGCCCTGAGCGGGATTCGAACCCGCAACCATCGGCTCCGCAGTCAGACACGCTAGCCACTCGGCCACGTGGGCGGCTCCCTTTTTAATCTTAAATGTGTATAATTGTAATATTTTTTTAAATTATTTTTTTGTTTAAGTTTCAGTACCTCTCAAAGTAATCCACTGCTCAAGCGGTTGGAAATGAAGGCCAGGGGGGGGAGGGAATCATTAGAGGAATTGTTTTTTTTCTTTCAACTTACTATAAACGTTTTCATTGACATGTGTTTTCATTTTGAACCCTAATTTTACTTTACGATTACGGTGCTACCTATTAACCAAAGCGAAAAAAAAATTGTCAGTCAAATAATGTTATCTTTTTCTGTAGTATCGAAATCTGCAATAAAAAAGGGCTTTTATTTAATAAGCTGCCTCATCCCCAATGGGTAAGGTTGGAGTTCATTGTTTGGGATCATTTAACACATCTTTTGAAAATATTTTACACGCATATTTTTATTGGATGCGTATTTCTTGAGGTATTTGACCATTTTCATATTTTTAGAGCCCTTTAAAATTAAATATGCAAGAAAATTTTGTGCTTACCATCAAAGTCTATGTATGCTCTCGCAGAATCGGGTATGAGGTCGCTAGGTGTTTTAAGAATCACGGACGTCTTATAAACATTACTACTGCTATCTAAAGGATTCAAAACAAAATGCATATAAGAATTGTGCAATAAAATGTATCGAGTAAATAAAATCTTAAGGGTGAAATTTTCGGTTACATGTAGAATAATTAGCATTATTAGTTCATGGAGATACATTTTGCAATTTTTAAAAACACTTTTGTATGATAACATGAAATCAGATGTAATACCCCACTTTATTTGTAATACCCGACTGACTACGCTAAGTGCCTTATATTTTTAACTGTTTAAAAAAAACTATCCGAAATGTAATGTGTATATTTTTTTACTAAACTGGAATTCAAACAATGAATTGCAAACAAAGTGAATATAAAAATTACTCAATAAAATACATAGCTTAAATTAAATCATAAGGGTGAAATTTTCGGTTACATGTAGAATAATTTGCATTTTTAGTTGATGGAGATACATTTGCAATTTTTAAAAACATTTATGTATGATAACACGAAATCAAATGTAACACACGACTTAAAATTATGCTAAGTGCCCTATATGTCTTACAGTAGTTTGTTTAAAAAAATATCAGAAATATAGCGTAATATTTATTTATTTTTTTACTAGACTAAAATTTAATACTAGAATACACAGCTAATTTTAATTCATCCTTCAGACTATGAACACTATTAGCTGTATGAGTTTGCTTCAGTTTAGAACTTTCCTCATTGATCAAAATTTTTAATAATTTCTTTCCATATTGAAAAATTGTAAGGATTACAGACGCAAATTTGGCGTAAAATCTGTAACATTTAGAAACTTAAAATTAGTGTTCAGAAACGTGTTACGATTGAATAAAAAATTAACTTTTAATAGTTAGTTCAAAAATTATTATCTGTTAAATTTGTTGGAAAGAACACCATACTGCAGCTTGATAGACCGTAAAAGTTCAACTAGAGAGAAGCCATACATGTTTATGAACTTAGCATGCATTTTTTTTTCAAAATTACAATTTGTTAGAACGTTATTACAATAAGTGTTTTTTTTGAGAATTTTATATGCTTTTCTTCTTCACGGTACGTTGCTGCCCTGCTCAAAATCTAGTGCAAAATGAATGTAGAAAAATGTTGAAAAATTTTAATGGAATAAAAAAAAATACGAACAGTTTATTAGTTTGACAATTATTAAATGTTAAACTTATTGTAGTAAAATAGCTATGCTGGTCCATTTACTGTCTGCTAAGATGCAACTACTCAGTTGAAATTTAGCGTGCTGATAGGACCATTTTGAATTATAAACTTTTTTATTTTTTAAATCTTCTTTGTTTGAAAGTCATTGCAATTTTTATGCATTTTTTTCTTTAAATAACAATTATTTATCTATTGTTGTAGAAGCAATTGATCTCTTTCACGACTTTCATTTCATAAGCTCGTGCTTGACTGGATGCCAGAAGTAACATCAAATCGTTTCCTTTGATCTTCAATGATGAATGAGAAGCAACCACTGTGATTGGTGAGCGAAGCGAGAAGAGAGTGGAGCCTTCCTAAAATACCTAGTCCTTCATAAAATACCAAATATAAGATGGATAAAAATTAAAAATGAATTTTACTTTTTTATATATGAAACGTTAGAAATGAATTTCTTTTTGCATAAAATATTAGAAATAAACTCTATTGATATATAAAAGTTAAAAATAAATTCTATCATTTATATGCAATGAGTTGTAAGAATCCGGATAACGTTGTATTTCGTTACTATATTTTAACATAATAATTTATTATATAATTTTGAACTTTAACGAAAAATTATGCGAAATTTATGCGAGTAGATTTTAAGTCCATTAAAAGTAATTTTTCAAACTTGCATTCCTTATCATGTATTCAGAGAAATGTCTACAATTTTTGTTAAACTTTTTCTCAAAAATTTATGTCCAGGCTACTAAAGTGAACACAAAAAGAGTATTTATTTTCGAATACGAAAATACTAGCTGCATAAAAATTTCAGCAAACTTCTTTGTTTGATTAAGATCTGGGTAGTTCTGTTAGCTAACATCTTAATTGTATTCCATTTTCTACATTGAATGCAAATAAGACGGCGTGGTTCAGGGTATAGAAAGCCCGCCTCCTAACTTGGTGACCTAGGTTCGAATCGCTGAGATGACTGTTAAACACGAATTGAGCTCCCAGTTCGCACCGACCACAGTGATGGCGTAAGACATTCTCAGGGGTAGAATGAATCATTTCCAGATTCTCGGGTTAACCGTGGAAGGTTTCGTGATTTTCTACTTCGCATAGTTCAAATATGTGTTAGCTCCATCAAAAAATCTTCACGAATACAAATTTCTTCAAATACTTGATCCAGGAGTTCCCTTGTCTTCCAGATTGGTTTCAAAATTACAAGGCTACATAGTTCAACGTTGGCAGTCGTAAGCCTAAATAGATCGAGTGTTCCACGCCGGTTACAGAATTAAATAAATATATAAATTACATACCTGCAGGGCATATCAATGAATTAATGACTTTTTCCTCCGAGAATCCTTCGGCCTACAAGAATGAAAAAAGATGACAAAAACTTTATATTGCATTGAGTAGTTGAAATGAAAAGTGTTTTAAGTCAAGATAAATAGATTATTAGATTGCAAAACTATTCAATAGGAAAGTTTTGCAATCAATTTTTTGAACTTAAAACTATTTTGCTCTCATTCTAATAAGTATTAAGAATGCGAGAATATCACAAAGTGCAAAATATGAGATTTGTATTCAAACGCATTTTGTGGTTATGATTGACGAATTATTTCATAATATATCGATTTATGACACTTTTGGATGCAACTGCTAAAATAATGAAAATAGAAATTAATTCTTTATGAAATTCTGAAAAGTTAATTTTTCATGATTGCTCTAAATTCTAAAATGTTTCATGCTCCAATGTTTTAAGCAGGGAAACACTGAAGTATGAAAATTGGAGTAAAGGTAGAAGAGTTGGATCCAGCTATATAACAACAAATTCAATAATAAAATACTCGGAATAACTGAATAAAATTAGAAACTATGTCTGACACAGAAACAAACAGAAGAAGAGAAAGGAGGAAACAAGCAAATAAATAGTAAAATCACTATTTGTGTTAAACATATATTCATATAAAGATTAACTTTAGAAGGGTTCAGTAATACACTAGAGTATATGTACTAGAGCAGGGATGGCGAACCAATGGCACGCGTGCCATTTATGGCGCGCGACACAATATTTTGGGCACGCCACCGATCATGCAATATGACAATATTTTGGGCACGCCACCGATAAGTGCACTATGAAGCATATTAACAATTAAATTGAAATTCACAAAAAATTAACAAAAAAATGAACAATTCCAAAAAAGCAATTAATAACCATAAAAAAACAAGCTAACAATAAATAACTAGCAAAAAAATTAACAGTTCTGCTTAAACTAACATCTTATAACCCTAATATAAGCTATTTGTCATCTAATCTGCAACAACAGAAATCACACTGATGTTATTTTAAGTTGAATTATGCGTTTAATTGAGACATTGCAAAAAAAAAATTTTTTTTCGTTGTAAATAAAGAGTTTTGAGTAGATAGTATTTAATATTATTATTTACCCAATAATCATGAAGTCAAAACTATTTGTCGGCACGTCTATGACCTCATTAAAAAAATTTGCAGAAAAAATGGCACGTTGGTGCATAAAGGTTCGCCACCCCTGTACTAGAGTATATGTCCCCAGTTTTTGAATTGCTTTATGCTCACCAGTGCTTTTTTACATGAAAAATGTCTTAATTTCTCTTTAAAGTATAAACATGCTTGTAGTCTAAATTTGCACGGTCAAAATGGATGCCGTTCGAAAGCTCATTCAAAAATTTTATACCAAAAAACTAAGATCTTGTCACATTTTCAAAAAAGTAAGTAAGTTTGTAGTGAGCCATTTTTTGTACTCTGAAAGGAATTAGAAGCACTGGTGACTGTTCAGTTCATTATAGGGGTAGAGCAAAAAGAACGGTTAGGACAGCGAACGTCATCAAAACCGTTAGAGAACGAAATAGGCACTTTCCATGCCAATTTGTTATGGGTATTTAAAAAAAGGATGTGAATATCATCGTCAACGGCGAACAGAATACTCAAATGTTTACAGCTGGAACTATACAAAAAACAACGAATTCATTATCTCACAAAAGTGTGCTACAGTTAAAAGGAGCAAGATGATGCTACATTAACATGCGTGTTGTGACATTCTTTTTTTGGACAGGAAACTTTTTATCCAGCAAGATTTTTCTACTTAACAAGATTATTTTTTATGTAACAAGATATTCTATCCAAGAGGATTTTTTATCTAACAAGATGTTTCTATCTAACAAGATATTTTATCCAGCAAGGTTTTCTTTTAACCAGCAAGACTTTTTATCCCGCAAAATTTCTTATACAGCAGGAATTTTTATCCAAAAAGACTCTTTATCCCGCAAGATTTTTTATACAGCAGGAATTTTTATCCAGCAAGACTTTTTATTCAGCTAAATTTTTTATTCTGCACGACTTTTTATCCAGCAAGGTTTTCTTTAATCCAGCAAGACTTTTTATCCAACAAGATTTTTTATACAGCAAGAGTTTTTATCCAGAAAAACTTTTCATCCAGAAAGACTTTTTTTATCCAGCAAGATATTTTTTATACAGCACTACTGTTACAATCAGCAAAACGATAGCGTTTATGAATCAAGATTTGCCTATATTTCTAAGGAAAAATTGGCTGTGAAACAATATCAAACTGCATCGGAAACGATGGTGCATACAAAAAAAGGAAAACTTCCGGATGGTGCAAAAAAAGGAAAACTTCCTCTCCGTTTTATTGAACCAAGAGTTAAATTCAACGCTGAATACTAACAAGTTTTGAGAATGCATTTTACTGATTCATGTTTTGATTTAATCTAAGGGCAATCATATTGCTTTCAACAAGACTCTACGTTGCCCACAAACCAATAAAGATCCAGGCATGGTGCAGTAGCAACTCACCCGATTTCATTAACACGGAAGAGCAACCTGGCTCTTTGCTATTTTAAATTCACTTGGTCATTTTATGTTGGGGTATATGCTCTCAAAGATTGAGTGTACGGAACGACTACCTATCGAAAAATTCTCTGAACATTTTTATACAGATTTGGAATCAAGTTACAGAAAAAGCGGTGCACGACAGCTATAATGAGTTCTTCAATCGTTTGCGTATAGTAAGTAATAAATGAAAATAGAGAAAGATTTGAACTTTCATGCAATAAATGAGTCAATTGTCGCAAAAAGATGTTTCTGTTTTCATTCCTTAGACATTACTTCAGAGACGCTAAATGGAAGATTCAGCAATTTCTCAGTTTTGTGTGCATATTTTTCAAAATACAGATAAAATAAGGCACAGCTGAACTTCACTTACAACGAGCCCTGATTTAACAATTTCGCTGGTACAATGCTAGGTTTAATAAATCCTAGCTAGATTTTAATGAGCAAACCGTGGTTTTAGAGATCAATATTTTTATAATTCATTAAATTTCTACTTATTTCCCCTTCTCTAGGTCTACTAATCCCTTTGAAAAATACGTTCAATATTCCAAAGACAACTGTAATTTAGTGACAATTCATAAAGCTAGCAAACACGAAAATTTTTCGAAAGCATGATGTATAAATGACAATGATTTTTTTGGTCCCGTGTATTATCCGATAAACAATAACGCATCAAAGAGACACTAGGACAGTTCTAAGCAAATTAAATGAACTTATTTTGTACAGCACATGTAATGTGCAGGTGTACTGAAAAGTATATAAAGTGAGTACTTTTTTCTCAATCAAGTGTTTTAAGAGCACACGGTTATAACATGCGCATATTGCGGTCGTTATAGGCAAGTTCGAATGCATTAATATATTCAAACTATAAAATTTCAGGCAGATGTACCATACCTCAATTTCAAGAGGTTTTCTAATAGCATCTCTGGCGTATGCTTTTGATACAGTTGAATTTCCACAAACAGAACTTTTGGAAGTAGTTTCTGCTCGCACAGTTATATTAACTTTTCCAACTTGAGTACCTTTTAATGTCAGATGAATGCTCGTTTTCCCTTTCGGCTGAATGCACATATTTTCGTTAATAGATCCATTAACAACTGTGAAACCTGTCGGATGATCGAGAGTTACAGTTACCTGCAATAAAATAAACAATTATTATTTAAAGTTTCAAAGTATGCTCGTATACGAGCGTAAAGAAGTTGATTCAAAACTACCTTTTAAACTTTGAAGAGCAATTTCACCTAATATAGAACTGCTATGCAATTGAAAAGTCAACGCAAGTGGCAAAAAAATCAAAATTGAGATTTTTTCTATATAATTGGTTGTTGTTGTTTGCCATTAAGGCTAAGGGTGCGATTGTTCTCGTTGTCCAGTGACGCTATCTAAGGCCAAGAATTCAACTTCTGTCACATCCATTTACAATGCGGACTCATTCATTCCTCCACAGATCGTAATTTTGGCCTGAACCCAATCTCCAATTTAGTACCCCCCAGAGGTATAATTTGTAGTGAGAACAAGAAAGACTTTGTGACGCGACAGATTTAGCGTGTACCAGTCACCATTTACTACGCGGAGAGTTTTCTGCTGGATGGATTTGAATACCCGTTCACACGAACGTTAGTCCGGCGCCCTGCAAACCATTTTATATAATTGGTGTTCTTATATCATAAACTATGTATTTAAAAACAAAAGTTTTATAAAACATCAATTTTGTTTTACGTGTTTTCTTAAGTTCTATTTTACCATTGATAGTATTAGCAAGGGGAATAAAATATTTGTAAAGTTTTTCGAAATCTGTGCTGAAACATTTTCAAATTGCATGGCAGAAATAATCAATTGGATGCAATAAATAATATATTGCTAAAAATTTTGATGACGATCAAACGCAATTTCAGACATTAACTTTGTAAATATATAGCAGCGCAGAGGACAAAAACAAACTCACGCCGACTTGCACTGGACTAACAATTTAAAGACGATATCCAAACTGCACTATCAGTGACGTTTCCGAACTTGAAATAAACTGAAATAAAGCTGTATGTTGTTCAGAATCATATTTGGAGAGATATTACAACACAGTTTTTAAAGAGTACTTTCAGTGTTTCGTATTTTTTTTATTTTTTTTTTTATTTTTTTATTATCGTGTCCACGGACTATTAAATGGCCTCGTGTACCTTCAAAACTGCATCCGCAAGCTCCAATACATCATTACTGTAGAGGATCTCACGAAATTCTGAAGTCAGTGGCACCATACCCAGTTGTAAAACATATGGGGTAAGGGCTGGGTACTCGAGAATGTGATCCGGGGAAAGTTGGATATATATGTGCAGTTCTTACAGGGAATATAAGTTCTTATTTTGTCGGGAAGAATTTTCATCCCTTTAAAGTGGTTTGTTCTTAGTCTTGTAATTGTTGATGTTAAGATTCTGGAACAATCAAAGTCAGTAATGAGGGGTTTCCTGAAGGAATGGGACAGAAATCTGTATCTTGCAACTGCATTTGCGTCTGCAAGCGTGATGGTGGTGCAAAGTTGGTCGGCACCTCTACCTTCCTTAGCCAAGGAGTCCGCACACTCGTTTCCCTCAATATTCACGTGAGCTGGTATCCATTGCAGCAAGCAGGATTTCCCATTGCCGAGCAAGCCATCAAGTAGGACATTTATAGCAGAGGTAGCGTTGATTTCACCATTGTTGATTGCCTCTAAGACCGCTTTTGAGTTAGAGAAGATTACCAATCCCTCAGTTGGGTTTGAAATCCCCTGATTGGTCATATAAAATGTGAGTGCCTCCTTAATCGTAAGAAGTTCACTGGTAAAGTTTGAAACAATTAAGCCTGTGTTGATTTTATGCATATATTTATCTCCAGTTTAGTGTTTCGTATTAAACTTCTATTTCTTCAAACAAAATTTTTATGGATGTAGAAAAATTAAATTAAAAAATGAACTTCATATTTACAGGTAATGCTCCATCAACGTAATTAGATAATGAAACAATAACATCAAATTCTTCTCCTCTTATAGCCGATAATGGTAGAGTATAATCAATAAAAAATGCTTGAAATGCTGTGATATTGGTATCATCGGAGATTCCTAAACCGTCTTCTGTGTTCAAACATACTGCTCGCCCAATCCACTGCGTTATGCTGTCAGGTAATTTCTCTTTTGCTTTAAATATACCATCAGAGCTATAAGTAAAGTTAAAAATTTCAAAATAATCACTTTTAAATTAGAAAATATTAAATGAATTATTATTAATTATATTAATTAGTGTAAAATATGTATTAATTAATATAATTAATTGGTGTTAATTACTATAAAATAACACCTTTACACTTAGTATTCAACACTTGATATTTGATTTTTGGTTTTAGAATAATCTTGCTACTTTATATAACAATAATATAATTAACATTTGTAATGATCTTAATACGCTACAATGCCTCGCCATTTTAGATTTTAAATTAAATTTTTGACATTCATTTTCCTGATTTTTTTTTGTTAATAAGCCTTTGATAGAGGGATATTACTTGGTGACCCTAGACCTTATAAAAAAAGGTTAGACCTCTTACAGATTCTATTTATCAGAAATGTAAAGCGGTTAGTGATTTTACGTAAGTAGTATAGTATACTGCACATTCGCCTGTTTTTAAATTTTTTGGCACACTCAGTCCCCATCAATACGGTCAGTTCCCATCAATATGGAGAAAATCATATGTAGTTGCCATTCCTAAATCAGGTAAGGACCCTATACATCCTACCAATTACCGACCAATCGCTCTTGCCAGTTGTCTTTGCAAACTTCCAGAGGGAATAATAAACGCAAGGTTAATATATTTATTGGAATCTCGATATATTTTATAGCGTATGATCGAACGTGGAGATACGGCACTTTAAGGGGACCTTTTAAATTATGACATTTATGGAAATATGTTTTATCTTATTAAAAACTTTTCAACAGACAGGACATTTCAAGTGAGAATGAATAACACTTTATCTGGGGCTTTTAACCAAAAGGAAGGTGTTCCTCAAGGTTGTGTCATTACTGTAACCCTATTTCTTATTAAAATAAACGATATTTTAACTACACTGGTGGACAAAATTAAGAGATGGAAAGCATTTTCGCACATTCATTCGCACATGCAAGATACCCACACACCGCTCCATGTGTTTGACAGTGGTTCCATGAATGCCCAGAGGTACAGGCAGGAGGTCTTAGAGTCCTATGTGCGTCTTTTCAGGGGCGCTGTTGGCCCTGAGTTCATTTCTATGGACGACAATACGTGACCACATAGGGCTCTCATGGTTGATGAGTATCTGGAAAGCGAGGATATTCAACGGATGGATTGACCAGCCAAATCCTCTGACCTGAATCCAATTGAACATGCTCGGGATGCTCTTGGGAGAGCTATTGCGATGCGCCAACCTCCCCCCAGAGCCACTCTGGAGTTAAAAATTGCTCTGGTGGAAGAATGGGAGGGTCTTCCACAAGTCCTCCTTAACTCCCTTATTAACAGCATGCATACTCGTTGTGCATGCTGTCTGTCTGTCAGGGGTGACCATACACCATACTAGAGGCAACACACACTGTACATGCCTCACTTTTATTGTCATCTTTTATCCTTAAGTTCTGACTACATTGGATTTATTGGCAATAGGTCTTGCCAGTGAATGGCACTTTCATTTTTGTTTTGCATACTGTATTATCATGGAATAATCTATATCCATACCAAATTTCATTTATTTATATTCAGTATTTTTTGAGATATTTGGGAAAATGTCTTCCATCTCTTAATTTTGTCCGCCATTGTACATTACCATCTACAGTGGACGGCAGATTATTCGTTGATGATCTGCGGATCTCCTGCAAAGAGTCTCATATGCACACTTTCGAAAGACAATTGCAGCTCACTATTAATAAATTATCCCTATGGGATGAGTTAAATGGTTTTAATTTTTCAACAAATAAGACAACGAGTATACACTTCTGTCGACGACGAGAGCTCCATCTCGATCCTGAGCTATATATCATAAACTTCCATATTCCCGTTTTAAGCGAGACAAAATTTCTTGGTCTGATCTTAGATCTAAACTCACTGTGGCATCTCATATTAAGCACTTAAGAAAAATCTGTGGACTAAAATTAAATTTACTTAAAGTTTTGACAAACTCTTCTTGGGGGGCAGATACAGATGCTATGCTCGAAATTTATAGGTGTATCATTCGATCTAAACTCGACTATGGTTGCGTTGTCTACGGATCAGCTAGAAAAAAATCTGTTCTTAAATATCTTGACACTGTCCATAACTCCGGCATACGTATAGCAACAGGATCATTTCGCAAATCACCCATAAAAAGTTTAAACGCTTTATATCATGGACCAACTCTTGCCGAGCGACGCAATAAGTTAACATTGAGATACTATCTTCATGTCAAAAGCCATCATATACACCCCATGTTTTCAAATGTCATAATTCCATTTTATGAAAGATTATTTAGTAACAGACCCTCTACAATACCGACTTTTGGTTTGAGAGTAAGAAAGCTTTTTTGTGACTTAAACCTAGAAGATTTTAATATTTTACCTGCATGTGAATTAAGAACTCCATGGGTCGTCATTTCTCTCCGAAACTATTGATATTTTTAACAATTTGACAAAAGCACAAACTGCTGCTAGCATTTACTTACAGATTTTTAATTCACACAAAAAATAATATAGTGATATTAATTCCATTTATATAGATGGCTCTAAAGGTCTTGACCATGCTGCAAGAGCTGCTGTTACCCCTATCTATGCAATATCTAAAAAATTACATTCGAAATGCTCCGTATTTACATCTGAATGCCATGTAGTTTATCTGGCTCTCCAATATATTTCCTCTCGAAGTTTAAAAAAATGGATAATATATTCAGATTCAAAAAGTTGCGTCGTTGCCTTACGAAATAAAACACTGAATACACATTCTAATATAAATAATATTTTAAGCCTATACAGCAATTTACTCCTAAAAGAATATGAAATAATTTTCTATTGCGTACCAGGCTATGCTGGCATTTCGGGTAATGAAACAGCAGATAAGGTGGTCTATAAACAACCCTCTAACCGACACAGATATCAAAAATGCGATTGACAATAAACAGTACTTACCCTGGCGAAATGAAATAAATAATAAATTGCATGACATTAAACCTTCCATAGAATCTTATAAAAATCTAAATATTAGTCGAGAGCAAGATGTAATATTAAATCGCTTGAGCATTGGTCACACTCGAATAACCCATGAACATCTTTTATTAAACGAACCTGCACCCGAATGTTCTCATTGTAGAGAACCGCTCACTATTAAGCATATTTTAACCGAGTGTAACAAATTTAAGACATAGAGACAACGCCATTTTGGTAGCTTTAATCCAATATTGACTTCATTATTCATAGATAAACAACACAATAACATTTTTAATTATCTAAGAGACATTGGTTTTCACAAAACAATTTAACTTATTAACTAACACTTTAACTTATAGCAGAATGTTTCTTATAGAACAAGTTGTAAGTGTGGTGTGGCCAAAAATGGCTTTTGCGCCAATAATTCTTAACAAACTGAACCAAACTAAATGTTTTGAAATTTGATTTTGTAATTGTTTAAATTGATGAAAACCGATTATGCTGATACTGGAAAATTTATTCAAAGGAAAATAAATAACTGTATGATACTTTACAACCTTTCAGAAAACGCCAATGACAGAATTGGAAATCAATTTAAATTCTTACATAATTGTAGCATTATTTTCCTTCTTTAATCGGGTATTGTTGCCTGTTTAATTATATACTACTAATTAAAGTAAATATCCAGCAACAACTTATTTATATAAATTAAATGAAGATTATAATCATATTTAAGACTTTTTCACTCCATTTACTTCCTTATGATGGTAGAAACCGTTTTAGAGGAAAGTGGTTTACTTTTCTTTGAATCTGTAAGAAATTCGGCGATTTTGGTATAAGTGCTCTATGTTAAACGGTACTTACCCTGTCATTTCCAATTCAAACAACCAAGTTTCTGGAAAGTCTGTTCTGACATCTGACACTGATTGGGTCGCTGAAAATATACAAAATTATTATTATGTTAAAAATATTTTTCGTAACCTGCATTTGTTAGATCTGAAGCTGAAATGACCGATAGGGCATTGGGGGAACGGAGGAAAGAGAAAGCAAGAAATTTGTGAATGCTTATTATTTAAAATGGTAATGAAACATGCTTCATGATTGTCTAAATGGTTATAGATTTTTAAGGGTTTAATGCTCATTGTTTCAAAACTTTTTATACACTCTATAGCAAAAAAATCGACGCACCAAGAAGGAGTTGTCCGATTAAAACGAAAATTGGTGGATAGGAAGACAATGTACAGAATAGTAAATGATTAAAATTTCAGAACAATTCAATAATTTATTACAGAGTTACAGTAACAAGTTCAATAAGGTGTTGACCTGCCTCTAGCCTGGATACAAGCTGCCACACGGCGTGGTATAGACCGATAAATCTCCCGGATGGTCTCTTGCGGTATTTCCTGCCAAATTCGATCCAATTGTCGAACGAGGTCATCAACATTCCGTGCCAGATTCAATCGCCTTCCCATCATATCCCAGACAGGATCGATGGGAGAGAGATCTGGTAATCTGGCAGGCCAAGGAAGAGTTTGACAAGCTTGCAGATAGTTTATAGCAACACGTGCCGTATGTGGTCTGGCATTGTCCTGCTGAAAAACCAGCCCAGGGTGCTGCAGAAGGAACGGTAGCAAAACAGGTCTTAGGATGTCGTCGACGTACCGCTGTGCAGTAAATGTACCTCTAATGACGACCAAAGGGGTCCGGCTGTCAAAGGAAATGGTTTTTTTGGTAAATTTTTTTGTTATAGAGTGTAGAATTGAAAAATAGAAAGTAATAGTAATAAGAATATAGTGAAAACTTCTGGAAAGTCCACTTCTATTTAACGACTTCTCTTTTTGCGACCACTTTTGGGAGGCATGAAATATTTTTTATATACTTTGTCTCGAAAAAACACTTTTAGGAGAGACCATCAAAAACTCTCCCAGTGAACAGGCAAATCTCTGCGCAGAATGAGGAAAAGGTCAAGTAAGGAAACGCGAAAAAATATCAAAACAAAAAATATTAACGAAGCAAATAAGTAGATCAAGAGGCATTCAAAATATTTGCTCGAAGCTCTTATTTAGAGAGATCTCTGAAAGAGATCTACAACTTCATGTTGCAGTCAGATTGCACTAAAGACTATGCTGTCTATGATTTACTTTAAAAGTTGAAAGTTAAATTAGAAAATAAAGTGTTATTTTAGAAAAAAAAACTGAGTATTTCAAGCAAACAAACCTCTTCGCATTTTAACTATTCGCATATTAACTTCGCATATAAACAAAAAGCGTAATTCCTTATTTGTTAATATAATAGTTCTGTCATTCATAATTAGTAAATTTTTTTTACAAGTAATCATATCTGCTGTTGGGATCATTTTTATTTAAGTTAAGTTTTATTCATCAATCCGGTTTTCATGATGCCAACATAAGTGACACTTCTCCACTAAGAAAATGACACAGACTAAAATTAAAATCGTTTGCAAAAAATCATGTCCAGTGCGCAAAAAAAAAACCAAAAAAACAAGAACGGATTACTTTGAATAATTTTTTTATATAATGATCGGATTTTCAAGTTCTAGGACTTAATCTTAATGCCTGGGATGAGCTCGAATATGCTTATTAATAAGTGCAGACGATATTTCAAGTTACGAAATCAGACATAAAAATCAGGTACAAGTACACGAATTCGGATTTTTGATGCCTTAAACACATCAATCTGGGAACTATTGTCCCAATTGTTCGGTCAGGAGCATGCTTAAAAGCTTGAAAAGTTTGAAAGTTGTTAATTTTACTGTTTTCGTGTTTCGCTGTATCTCGAGAACTTTTAAAACGAATTGGAAAGTTTTTGTACACAATTATAATATGTGTTTATCCAAAGTAAAAAAACGCAAAGCTGCAATGCATGCAAAAAGTAAGTTTTAGTGAATATTTATCATTTTTTATTATTTTATTGAAAAATTGTTAAAATATTTCGAATTGCATGGTATACATTTTTGTGCATCATTTTACAGTGTGTAATTTTGTATTTCTAAATACACAAATACGACCCATACCATGATGAATTAGTACGAGACGATCCGGTCATTAGATTAAAAGTTTTTCAGGGTGCTCAGTTTTTTTTTCCGGTAGCCCTTAAAAACCACCAATCATCATTAACGACCATTCGCTCTCGTGAGTTTAACTATAATAATAATTATAATTAATAGTAATAAGCATGATATTTTAAATTTAAGTTGTAAATCAACTAATTTTAATCGCACAATATAATTTGAGTCATTACTTTTTATAAGTAGCTAAGCACCATGCAGGGATAAAATAATTTTATAATTTTTAATATTCTTCTATTTTAATAATTTAATAATTTTTTCTCTCAAATTAGGATAATAACTTTAAGTTGTCTAAATTTGTTATCAACATGGGATATGGATTAGAAGAGTGAGTGCTCAGAATATCGTAGATTTACGTAACACGAAGATTGAGTAAATTTCAATTACCTGCTTCACCTGAATCGTATTCATAACTAGCGAATTCGCCTGTTAAATATTCTCCGGTAGCGTATTCCGCAGTTATATATTCAGCATCATCAAATTCATCAAAGACAGAAAAATCATATCCATTATTTTTCTTGCATGGCCTCGTAGCTATAAACAAGTCGCTTATGACGAGAAGTTTTGGATTCTGGTTGAAAAGAAGATTTATTTAAGAATACATATTGATAATTTTCTTTTACGTTTCAGAGTTTAAAATGAATACATGAAATTAGCAATAACACTTTAGCGCAGAAATTTCATGAAACTAATTTTTATTCCTTTTCCATTATTTTGTAATAATTTAAGACAAAGTAATGAAAAATATTATATTTACCATTTTAATAATGATAATAATGATAATAATAATGATAATAATGATAATAATGATAATAATAATAATAATAATAATAATATATATATAACATTAATTAAATTAAATAATTGTGTTAATAGTTCTCGCTGAACTGAATAATGCGTAACATTCTATTCTTCAACATCAAGGAACTCAAGAATTAATGACTTCATCAATAACATTTTGTTATCAGAATTTTCTTTAAACATTTATCTAGAAAGTGCACAATTCCATTATCGTTTCACGCAATAGTTTTTGAGTTATAAGACATTTAGACATAAGACAAGAACGCTCTGCTTAAATTTCCTGAAACAGCGGTGATGGTTGCATTAACTTTCTTTTAATACAAAGAGGAAGCTTTGATTCTTTTGAAAACATTTTGATTTAGAATTACTCAATTCCATACTTTGACATTAATATCATTGATTAGCCAATTATAATCAAATACAGATCAATCTTACTTTGAATTAAATTAATTATACCTGAAAGATTTTTGTGAACATTTTTTATCCCTTTAAAAATATCTTACTTTTTACTCCATAACTTAAACTAAAATCATTTGGATGTGCATTCGAGTTGCAAGTCAACCTGTTGTTT